TTTTATGGATACTACATCAAAGGAAATCATCATTGTAAAGTAGAATGCAACAAAATGAAAATTTCTAAGAATTCTACTTAATTTCTAAAAGTACCCAAGGAAAATGAAGATTATCCCGCTATACTTAACAAACATGAATTTAAGTAAAATGAACCAGAACTAAATTTCTAGACAGGGTATAAGAAATCCGTACTTTAAACGGCAAGCCTCGTTCTCTTGACATGTTAAGTTTCTTCACAACCTCTCCATAGACGTATGCTTTTTTCTCATGAATGGGTATATTAGCCAGAGCCACAAGTTCTTTGCCAGGTGTTGAAGCTACTCGTGAACCCGACGCCACTGGCACAAGTTGACCGGCATTAGCCTCTCTACTTGCATCAATCATATTCGTTTTAGGTAACATTGATATCCTGCTAAGGCTCTGAAGGAAGTCACGTTTTTCTTTTCTCCAATCCTCCTGTCATTTCAGATTCACATCCAATATTTGGCAAAAATCAGTTATCCACATCCTCTTCGAATATATCAATGAGTAAAAAGTCCAGCCAAGAAAAAGCTCCTTCAAAAGCTAGTATATAGACAACTAATAAGTAGGAAAGAAGAGAATACACGCCTCTAATTCACACAGCTACTAACTCATCAATCTTTGCATGCAAAAGGAAACTGAGAAGAAGCAAATGGCTAGAAGAAAGAAGGGAAGCATAATAAAAATATAAAACTAAAATATGGAATATGGATAGCATTACCTCCAGAACTTTCATCATGTAATCATTAAAGCTTCGAACGTTATCCTTCTGAGCTTCCTGTATAGCTGAAACCATAGCCATCTCATGAACCTAAAGAGAAAAAAAACATGTCAAATCATAACAGCCAGTCATCGCCAAGAGAATCAAATCAATCAATAAAAAGTGGTAAACAATTGATAATTAAGAGTACCTGTTGCAGGTATTCTTCAACGCTCGTAGCCTCAGCAGGGAACACATCCTCAAACGTCGTCTTTAAAAGAGTATCAAAGAAAGAAAACACAGTGAATAATCACAGAGAAAGGTGTAAGCATAGTACGATTACAACACCTTAAGATACCAATAAAACAAACTAATACAAGATCATAATTCATACACACAGCAACTCTGAAGGAGATTTGTTTCACAAAGTACGTATAGCCTCAAGTATAAACAAAAACTACTTATTGAAGTATGCAGAACAATAATAATAATCAATCACCTTCAACTCAAAAGACTTGAGATCACGAGCTAGTTGTTCAGCATTGATTCCCTCCCGAGCGAGTAGTCTGCAAATAACAAACACAACAGAATCATTTCTCGCTACTATTACTCCTCCTTAGGGATTAAAAAAAACAGAGAGAGTGAGATTAAACCTAGTGGCGGCGATAGACTGAGAAGGAGCTTCGTTCCTTAGGGTTTTAGCCTTGAGCTTCTTCGATAACGCTTCCAGCTGATCTAAGTTCCTCTGATAGGCGATAACAAACACACAAATCAAAAATCAAAACTCAAAAATCAAATCAGCAGAAAGGGGAGTGGGGGAGAAGCGGAAGAAGAAGAACCTGAAGAGGAGGAAACTGAGAGGAAGGAGCAGCTTGCTCGAGAAGCTTCGAAGAAGAGTGGAGAAGATCGGTCCACCCACTCATCTCTTGGTCGTTCGCCATTGCTCTCTCTTTGCTCGATTCCTACTCGGAGAAGCTAAAGACAAGGGTTTTGGGGGATTTCACTTTTTTTTTATTTGTTTTTCAATCGCTAAAAAAATAAAATCATTTAAATGTTTTTACTCTTTCATTATAACGAGCTTTCGCGCTGTAATAATTATGCGACTGGTAAATTTTACCATCCCGTGCGCATTTTCCTACCCTAATTTTTTTTGGTTATTATCAAAAATTATGTTTCTATCCTTTTGAATCATTGATTTGTATTTCTATTGTTTTAGAATATATATATGATCATTAGTATTCTGCATCAGAGATTGAATTTTAATTTACCGAACTTGACAATGAAAATGCTGGAATAGATTTGAGATATATATTTGCCATTTTTATTTGTTTGATTTTGGTCAGATGTTTTGACGAGTCCTCTAACTTTTTTTTTTTACCATTAATCAGTTATCATCAGTTTGTAGCAAAAGCCCCTAAAGGAGAAGGGTTAGCGTTGTGACTACTAAATTAAAATCACTAAGCCGGTGAAGCTGAAATAAGAAAGTAAACAAACTTCAAAAGTTAAAATCCAACTTCAGTTACATATTAAGACAACTGATAGATAGAACAAACTAGTTTGCTTCTGCTTTTTTTTTGTGTAGAGAAGAGAGTAAAACATGTCACTGAAAATCCCAAGCCTCATCATTTTCAGAGTCATCAAGGATTTGAAAATCATGTGAACAAGTTGAATAACAAAATATCAGCGCTTGACTCTACCTAAAGTCAATCATGTTTGTGCTTAATGAACTTCGTTTAAAATGACATTGTTATGCCGTGGAGATCAAAATCTGATTTTATCATTAATTTTTCAGGTGGAAATATGTTATGGAACTAGCAAGAAGATGATATGAATTGGCAGCCCAAACATGATCTTCTTCTCCTTCGATCAACACCATATGGGCTTCACCGACATAACGCAACTCATTAATTTACTTGTATAAGTTTGAATTAGATGTAAGTGTAGAGTACACATGTGGTATTTACTTATGATCATCCTTCTAAAGTCGATTATGCTTTGCTTTTCAATCATTAGTCATCAAATACAAAAAATTTTCATTTTTACTATTGTTTTTCAATATTTACTCTTGTGCTTGCATTACAGTTTGCTCTTTCATACATATTTTGTGTATCTGCAGCGTATGAAGGAGGGAGGTAGCCAGTTTACAAATAATCTTGATGGGAGGTTTAAGGTAATTTTTCAGTTTTACAAAGAGATTAACATATATATTGTTTATAAAACTTATTGTTTTATGAATGATTCTTAAAATAAAATCATGAGTGTTGCGCTTACTCTTTCAACAATCATAAGCCATAACCATCTTGTTCTCTCTATTTCTTGAGGAAATCAATGAGTCTCATTCAAAGAAGTAATATGCTGATAAAAGGGGTGGCAATGGGTGTGTCACTGAAAACAAATTCCCGTCAAACAAACTACCTCCTCCTCTTGTAACGAACCTACTCTTCCATTCTTATGTCAGCTTTCTTCTTTCTCTATAACGAATGGTTCTTCATTCAGAGAGGCGAACGGGAGAATAGCGAATGAGAAAAGAGAAAACACAGAGCAAGCTATAGATGACAACGATAACATTGAGGTATTGGAGAATAATTTTCGTTTTTTTCTTTTTTATAAAAAAAGACGTTGAGGTATGTACATCGAAGAAATTGCTGGATTGTTTGCGTTGATTTCGTTCCAATATTACCAGTGATTTAGATCAGTATTGATCTTAATTGCACTTTATGGTTCGCATTGATCATCATGGTTGGAAGTAACTGATTGTAATTGTTGGAAGTAATTGCGCTTGATGGATTATTTGCATTGACCGTTATTGATAATTTTATCGTAATTGTTAGAAGTAATTGCGCTTGATGGATTGTTAACATTGCTCTTGTTGCGGTTTCAGTGATTTAGATTAATCAGATTTGATCTAGTGATTTTGTTCTTCTTAAAATGAATGTTGGGGATAAATCTTGATTCTTCAACAAGGTCCATTAGATAATGAATTATGTTAATTTTAAATGAGATCATTTGAAAACTCTAAATTTCACCTTTCTATAAATAAGGAGTTACTTCCTTCTTAAAAATGATCTTTTGTGCATGATTTAAAACCTTACCAATACCGTCCTCTCTGGTTGGGCCAACTAACTAGGCCATGTTTAGACTGATTGTAGAGATTAAAGAGCTTCTTTAGGTGTTAGGGAGAGGGATCCACGGACCGAATACAACATGTTGTTATAAGAAGATTCCTCGATCGCATAAGTTACAACCCCCCCCCCCCCCCCAAAAAAAAATATAGTACTAGTCTCCCTTTACAATCCCCTATTTTATAGGATCGGGTTCAACTATAATTCATTTAGGTTTTAGCTATATAATGATGATAATGATAATTAATTTAATTAATTTTGATAAGGAAAGCAAGGCTATACGTGCCTATTTATGGGTACATTGTGGCCTCACACTTGTACACATGTTATATACACAAAGGAATCTGCGTATATATCTACATTATATCTTTGTTCGTCAATTGTCAGTATGTAATATGCATTGTTACAAACTTATAATGTGTGCATAATTGGATGTATTAACATATCGTTACAAATATATAATTCTAAAAAGTTATCATGTTTGTTTTCTTTTATTAGAATTCAAAATCCCATCTCTGAGATATACCGAAACTAATCATTCTTTGAAGATGGACTTCCACCAAAAAATGTAAAAGTGAAAGTAAACAACCTCTCTATCCTCTGATCAACGACGCAGATGTGAGAAACGAACAATCGAACAATCGAAAGAGGAAGAAGATAGAGCTGTGACACGTGGCTCACAAGAGATGTTTCTTAAAGGATGGACCCCAGACTTTGATGATGGTGAAATCAAATCTTAGTTTAGCAAACTATAGTCTATACTCTATAGCAAGTCGTAGTATCTCATACCCAAGCTAAAAAAACTTTATACAATAGTTGGATGTACACGCCTTAATGGAGTGTACATCAATCATATCAATCATAATATTCGAATTTGGTTGAGATGATAAAGAATATACGCACAAAAAAACTCATGCTCCCATGCGAATATCAGCTTTAAAAGTAAGAAATAAAAGTAATAGTGTGACACTGATATTGTTAAACTAGCTCTATGTTTTCTGATTCAAAAACCCAACAAAAGTACAAAACCTACAAGTACGTTATTTTATTGAGGGAGAAGCTCTCAACATCACATGATAGTCAATAAATAAGATTATCACACATATATGTTTTTTTAAAATATTCACCTAAAATGTCTATAAATACACACACAAATCGGACACACCTCTTCGCACACTCATAATCACTTTGGTCGGTTTCTTCCTGTCGCCTTCCTCAAAAATATATAAAAATATCATAACAATGATGCAGTACGAAGAACTCGCTCTTCAAAGAAGCTTCAGCTTCAACTCAACCAAGATCAACCCTGCCAACTCTCCAGCACGTGGCTTACACGCCCGTTCTCCTTCCTCCACCACTTTGATCCCAACCATCCCTCACCACGAACTCTTCCTCGTACCTTGCCGTAATTGCTCTTCCTCCTCCTCCTCCCGCCGACCAGACTCCTCCTCTTCCTCCACTAACAAAACCGTGAAAGTCAACGTGAAGCTACCATCCTTCTTACGTTCTCTCCTCAACCTCATTAACCTCCCTACATGCAACGTCATCTGCCTTCCTTCTCCTCCCTCTTCTTCCTCCTCCTCCAGCGTCTCTAACCAGCTGATCTCACTCGTCAGAGGTGGATCCTCTTCCCTAGGGAGGAGAGTCACGGGAACGTTGTACGGACACAGGAGAGGCCACGTCACGTTTTCTGTGCAGTACGGTCCGAGATCAGACCCGGTATTGCTCTTGGACTTAGCCATGTCAACGGCTACTCTCGTCAAAGAGATGGCGTCAGGGCTGGTCAGGATCGCGTTGGAGTGCGAGAAACGTCACCGTTCGGGGACAAAGCTTTTTCAGGAGCCTAAGTGGACAATGTATTGTAACGGGAGGAAGTGCGGTGTCGCGGTGTCGCGTGGAGGCGCGTGTACCGAGTCGGATTGGCGCGTGTTGAATACGGTTTCTAGGGTTACGGTTGGAGCTGGAGTTATTCCTACGGCGAAGAGTATTGATGACGTGTCCGGTGATGGTGGTTTTGGTGGTGGAACGGAGCTTGGGGAGTTGTTGTATATGAGAGGTAGGTTTGAACGAGTCGTGGGGAGCCGTGACTCGGAAGCGTTTTACATGATGAACCCTGACAAAAACGGTGGTCCAGAACTTAGTATTTTTCTACTTAGAATATGAAGATTTAAATATGTTTTTCAATATTATATAGCGAATGGATGCAGTGACTTGTTATGAAACATATGTAAACGATAGGGAAAAGGCCTAGGAGGTTATGCTAGGTTTTTTCTAATCTCTTGTTTATTAGATGTGGTGTTTTTGTTTATTTTCGTTCTTGTTGTTGTTGTTTTGAAAGCAATTTTTGTAATTTTTGTTTTGGTTAAATAAGAAGAAAAGAAGGATCGTGATCATTGGTCTATGGTTTGCTTATATACAAGGTTGAAGATCCCACATTTCCGTCCCAATATTGGGATTCTTGTTGTTTTTAATTATTATAAACTCTATTTAGTTTGAGCAAGGCAAATTCGCTTGTACGTGTAACGCAGCTAGCATTTTAGTTTTAAACTAAACAATACATCATACAATAGAAAGTGGTCTTGCTTTTGAGTTGTGACGTGTAACAATTCGTAACCAAAGACTTTTTATATTTTAATTCAAGATAGCATGTGATACAATCAAATGAACGTGTCACCCTTGTATATTGTATATAAAAACCTATAATTAGGGAAGTGAATGAGAGCTTTAGTTTGCTAACATGCATGTAAATGAATCTGCCCTTTCTCAAAAAAAAAGAACATCAAATATCAGTTGATTTACATAGGAAGTTATAAACTATCTTGTGGAAAATATATGCTTAAATGAAATTATAAAAAGGATTAAAACCTAATTTAAATTGGCTTGAGATCAATAATTCTAAAATAACGCGAGGTCCGGGGGAAGATAAAAAAAAAATTCCCGATAGATTATGGAAAAAGTTGGTGGGAAAGAGCGTCAAATCCCACACGGTTTGGCAGCAAAGCCAAAATATCCCTTTTTGGAAAGTTTCATTCATTTGATTTTAGAACCATTTTTTTTGGTACAAATATTTAAGATTTTATGCCATTTTTGTGGGGCACATTTTGCGAAGAACCCCTTTTAGGAAAGTTTGCAGACCAGCTTATGATGATGTTTGTTTTGGATCCACAAGTCCATCCTTCCCCAAGTGTAGGCGTGTAGCACCTATGATTCAAACTGATCCGGTAATAATACTATAACCATACTCTTTCAGCCGGTTGATAGCCAACCATAATACTTGAATATAAACATTAGTAACGTTGGTCTTTTTTGTTGGTCTACACATATGATCAATTTCTAGTGGATGTATTTCTTATTAGTTTAGGTTTTACATGATGATTTGCTAAAACAAATTAGATTTCACTTCTTGTTTCAATCAATAGAAACATTTAGCTCTAAATGTTAAGAACGTTAGCAATAATTAGAGCCGTATTAATATATTAAATGGATATATTATTAACAGAGTTTGAAGTACATATGGTCCAATACGCATACGCGTCATAGCTAGATTAGATAAAGCAGATCATGTCGAGACAGAAATTTAGAGGTTACAGTAATGAGTTTTCATTAGTAAAAAAGGAAGCAAAGTTCCAAAAATTTGTGAAGGAAATGCATGTGATAGGCTGATAGCTTCCTGAGGGCAACATTATTGCAAGAAACAAATTTATGTCCCTTAGGTTATTTTATTAATTTTTGTAACTTAAGAGACAAAGGTAAGAAACTTTATAAAAATACAGATTATTGCTGGAACTTAATGGTGTCTCTTAGAAAATTACAAAGATGCCAACAAAATTAAAAACAATAACTCAATATTGCTTCATCAAGCTCTGATGGTTNAGGGCAACATTATTGCAAGAAACAAATTTATGTCCCTTAGGTTATTTTATTAATTTTTGTAACTTAAGAGACAAAGGTAAGAAACTTTATAAAAATACAGATTATTGCTGGAACTTAATGGTGTCTCTTAGAAAATTACAAAGATGCCAACAAAATTAAAAACAATAACTCAATATTGCTTCATCAAGCTCTGATGGTTTGTTCGTTGCAGCAAGAACCATAACCCATTATTCGCTACAATGCAACAACAACCATTATACTCCTTTAAGAAAAAACAAATTCATATAGTGTGCATGTTAAAGTGGGCTGAAAGGTGAATGATTCAACTTACGATCAGTAGAAAATCCATCCCATAAAGCCATAAACTCAGTCTTCATGTTAGCCATGGCTTCATGATCAGTTGAATGGCACTGGCCAAGAAAGCTGTCCACCTCATCAATAAAAATGATAGCAGATTGGAGTTTGTACGCCAAGCTAAACACAACAACAACTGAAAAGAACAAAACAGAACAGAGAACCTCGTTTAGCATAAGATATTTTATCAACAGACCATAGATAAAGCCTAATCTACTATGTGCACTACTTACCAAGCTTCAGATTCTTTAGTAATAGCCTTAGCAAGCATTGTCTTCCCAATACCAGGAGGCCAATAGAGCAAGACACCCTTTTGAGGACCAAACAGCTTCCCATAAGCAAAAAGCTCCGGCCTTTTCAAGGGCAAAATCACAAGCTCATACAAAGTCTCCTTAATAGTCTCCAACCCTCCAATAGAACCAAACTCAACATCAATATGGTCTGGATTAATCACATCACATGCTATCACAGAAGCCAACCCATCGCCGCCGGATTCATCAACCCCACCTCCTTTTACCTCTGACTTCTTCTTCTTACCTCTCTTCTTCAAAGCTCGGCCATAACTCAATGAAATTCAAAAACCCTGACAAAGTCACATGCTCAAGACAACAACAATATATGAAGAAGATAAACCTAAACCTTGAAGTAAGGCTTTATTAGAGGAACTAAACAGAGGCAAGTACCCTATCCTTGGTGTTAACACCTGATTAGAAAAATATACACAGAGATTACTCATCCGAAATTCGATTGTGATCCAACTAACAAACAATCGGAGAAGCTATGAGAGAGTGGATTTACAAGAGCAGGAGGAGGAGCAGGATGAGAAGCGACTTCGGATTTGTGGAGATGGATTTGCAACGGAATTGCTCCTTCGCGAAGAGAGAAGACTGACGGCAAAAAGGTATCAACTCTCTCTTCTCCGAAAGCGTATCACAACATGCCACGTGACTCTAAAGACGAGCCCAATTGTCTCTTAATTAAGGTCCTTTTGTCTCGTTTCTTCATCTTTTTTATTTAAATTTGACCCAATAAACTTAAGAAATGGGCTTAAGGGACAGCGATAATGTTGCTCTNCGAAGAGAGAAGACTGACGGCAAAAAGGTATCAACTCTCTCTTCTCCGAAAGCGTATCACAACATGCCACGTGACTCTAAAGACGAGCCCAATTGTCTCTTAATTAAGGTCCTTTTGTCTCGTTTCTTCATCTTTTTTATTTAAATTTGACCCAATAAACTTAAGAAATGGGCTTAAGGGACAGCGATAATGTTGCTCTGAGTTAACTGCAAAAAATTCAACACCATCGAGAAAGTGCATGTGTTAATAAAACTAATTCAGTATGCATGTGCTAACCTATTATACTAAATAGCAGTTCAATTTCCAAAAGTACATTTAACATTAATATATACAGTACTCCACAAGTAATAAAGCTTCTCCACGGACCGATTCGAAAGATCTTTGTCATAACTCATAATCAGGTTTGTCGTTCCCGTTATACTTAACAACTACACATGCATATATATAACTTGTGTGGACTGAAACAAAACAAATAAACATTCTAAAAATTAGAAATTATGAAGTCTAGTAAAAATTAGTAGTATAACTAACTTGTACTTAAATTTGGTAACGGACGGAAAAATTATCGTAAGATATGTGGCTACCTATAGTGCTACCCATTTTTAACTGATGTAAACGATACCTTATCCGTACATATATAATATACGTTATTACATTATTGAATTTAGCTTGCATGACCTGATTACAGATACAACACATCATGAACGTGAACGGGTGAAGCAATGCCTCGCCTTAACGATTTTAATATTGACGCTTTTTTCCTCGGGCAGATCTAATCTGCATCGTCTACACTTCTGTCTTCATATCTCATCCCTATCTAATCTTTATATATATTCATTATGGGAACGGATCTGTTCTCGACATTTCTATAAATATATATAGAATGACTAGTGGAAAAACAAAGTAATTAGCATACAAAAGAATATCAAAGCTAACATTTTAATATATAATAGATTGTAAAAAGAAAATTTCAGTAACTGTTTCTAATGTTTTCATTATATTTTTAAGGGAAAAATCGCATAAAAACCTTGAAAATGACATTTACTATTACATTAAATTTTGTAATTTTTTTACTAACACTTTAAATCTTCAAAGTGTCATTTGTGTCACAGAAAAATTTGAACTTGAAAATCCAACATGTTGAACATGTAAAATAGGTAACTTATCACGTTTTTGCGAAAATAAACATTTAATAAATAAAAGTTTAATAAATAATAAATAAATAAATAAAAATCAACTGAATTTTGAAAAAAATTTAAAGAAAAATTTATATAAAAAATAAACAAGTTGAAATACCAAAAATTAAATAAAATTCAAAAAATTAAACAAAAATTAAAGAAAATTTAAAGTTTTAAAGTGATAGTAAATGTCATTTCCAAGTTTTGTATAAGATTTTTCCTATTTTTAAGGGAATTAATACCAAACAAAAATGAGTGAAACCGATAGAAATTTACATCTGTCAAATTACTAATTTTGATAAATATTTTCTTAAAATGAGTCATTATGTATTTTTAACCAATTATATACATAGTAATAAATTTTATCTAAAGTAGGGAAATAATAATGATACGTTAATAATGAGTTGGATTATTTTATCATGTACGTAACATGTTATTTTCAGTGAAATTATAATTTATGAAAATATATTAAATATTATTTGATTAACTAAATGGATATTTACATATAAAATATCATTGTATATAAAATATTTTATTCGTGACAAATTAAACGATTTTGCATAAAATATTTAAATATTCATATATTATAACATGTCACATAAAGGTTTATATATGAAGCCTATAACAATTCAAGGTAGAATAACTAAAAGAACAGTTTGTTGTTATATTCCTATGTTATAATTAGTACTGTTTGGCGTAATTAGTACTTAAATAATGTTAATGAAAACAATTCTTACTTTTTGACATCGATGAAAGCTATTCTTATAAATATTTTTCGCTATCTTATATCGTATAGGATGAATATGCCACTATGCAGTAAGATATCTGACATAAAGGGTATGCATTATAATATTGTAGAGCAATGAGCTTTTTTGGCTGGCAAATCTGAGTTCTAAATTGTTTATGATTGATTAATCAATATTTATAAAGTCTCCGCGTATATAACTAATGAGGGTTAATAATAAATAAAAAAACAGCAACTTTTACATTAGTATATTTTAAGTTTAAATACTTTGACATGGACTACTACTTCTTGATAAAAGAGTGAGCCTACTGTAACATGTATATCTAGTGGTTATATAGTGGAATCACGTTGGACTAACTTACTCAAACAGGCGATGGTAATCATGAATACATGATTTGCGTGTTATATAAACCGTATTCAAATGAATAATCTCTAAAGCCTATTTTTTGTTGTCGTTTATGTTCAACTAATGTGATTATATCCCTAAACTGAGATAGCTTCGGTTTTAAGATGCTAAAGTATACATTAAATAATAATTCGTAAATAGTTAGTATGGCCTCATAGGTGCGTCAAGATTCAAGAGTCGTGCCCAACCACATACAAAAGTAGCTGGTGTGTGAATCTTAGTATAGCATGCCTTTTGCTTTGGTAACAAAGATTAATTATCACTCAATGCCCCCGATCGATATTATTATTACATATAAATTTCTGACGCGGTTCATATTTTCTGAGGTCTAAAGATTGTAAAATAGTGACTTTTTTTTTTTCAATTGGCTACTACTCGATCGAAATCGATAAAGTGGAATTTCAAGATAACTTATTCAATATAGCAACGTGGAGTTGGTCACATTTTACGACGAGAAACATTTTAACATTTTTTGACAGTTATTATCATTGATATTTATTCCAACTTCATAAAATACCGCTGAATTTCTCACGGTTCATATAGATATAATATAGTCAAAATTCGTAATGCTAGTTAGTTACCAGTAGCTCGAGGTTTCTTCACGTCAAATTTGTTTTATGGGTGCAATATATAGTGAGCATTCATTAACGTCTAGAACTTCTATTTCGTTCAATTAGTATATGAGAGTTATCTCTCAGTTAAAGTTCATGAAATATTAGTTTTAGCTGTTAATTTTTAATCAAAATATAAAACATCAAAATTTTAGAATGTAATAGTTATGAGGAAATTTTTATAGTCGATAGAGAGGTTGGCGAGGATAATCAATTTAGCTAATATGTATAAATCGAGAGTTAATAAAGTGCAATTAAACATTTATCTAATTCGCTGTATTGTATATGTCTAGTTGTCTGATTGTATATCTTTACAGGTTCGAATAAATCAAACGGAGAGATCTAAAATATCTTAGCGTTAGCGGACAAAATAATACTTTCTCTTTTCATAATCGATTAACACCCTCTATCATTGGTGTTATAACTTGTATATTCGTATAAACACTTGTCCACGTATTTGTGTACACTTAACTATAATATAACAAGAAAGAAACATTATCCTTGGACCTTGATTAGGGTCAGAGTCAAACAGAAATAAACGTAAAAGATATTTCCATGCACGAGATATTTTTATGAGATATTTTATGCATGAGATAACCAGCTCGAGAATAAAATTTATGTTGGATCTTGAACCGACAGATGTAGTGATTTTTAACTTGATAATACAATATCTGATTTACAAATCAAAATGCCCATAACTAAGATTATTGTTATTAGACAGAGATTTGATCTTCTTTCCATCAACTGTGCTATAAAAAATAATCAGGGTGTTCCTAGCTAAAAGTATACTCATCAGAACAAGATGCAGTGTGATGATAATTATGTTTAATTAAAATGATTCACGTGTATTAATTGTTAAGCTGAACATCATAAATATCTTCTAAAAGTGTAGCTCAGATATTTGGTCATTTGTCAATTACATATTAAAGATGGTAAATGTCACATTATTCACATATGTATAGCTGGCATGCCCATGTGCTAAACTGTTAATTAAAGGTACCTTGTTAAGTTGCACTCAAAACTCAAAGCATATGAATTAACCCATTTAATTACCAAAGTTCGCAGGTATGGTCAGGCCATGTGATGTGTATGTAGGGATGTCAATCACTTAACTCATCAGAACTTACAATAGTTTAGGTGATCATCAGCTCAGTTAATAATTATTAGTTTCAACTTAGATCATTAAAGTTGGAAGTGAAAGCTGTAAGAAAAAAGTTGGAAGTGAAAAGAATTAGCATAATAATAGCTAAATAAGATTTTTAGGGTAATTTACGTCCTAAGTATAGTTTACTAGTGATTTCAAATATTATTGGAGAATATTATTGGTCATAAGAGCATCTCCAACAGTGTTACCCGTTGGATTCCTTAAAAAATCTATTTTTTAATTTTTAATTATTTATTTTTTGTTTTTTCAGATTTTTTTAAAAAGAAAATTAAAAAAATACTAACCAATTGTAGATCGCCACGTGTTGTGGGGACCCGCAAATAATGTAAAGATTCACAAATTTTTTTTTTTATTTAAATATTTTAAGGATCGAATCTTTAACTTTTTATAGAATTCACTAATTATTTAATTATTTTTTTCTTAAGAATTCCCTTCTAAGGACTCCCGTAAGTTACTAACTTCTAAAGTTCATAAAAGTCCAAAATAAACCATTAGCAAATTAAGCATAAACTGTATAATTTGAGCATTGTAAAATATCTGAATGAGATAGTTGTTGAATTCTAAATAAACCCGATGTTTAACAATAAAAAAGATTGAACTAAATAAAGATCATGAAATGAATCATAGAGACTTTTGGATAATATGATACAAGAGTAACATGTGTAGCTTTGTCATCTGTAAATACTAAGGTATAAGCCCAAACATAACCGAAATTTTAGCCCATTAATTCCAACACCTAATAAATCACGGCCCAAATTCTATGACCACCACAATTGCTGCGTTGTGTTTTGGTAGGAGCTTAGTGATGGCAATTTTCTGATGTCACAAAGAACAAATCTATGATGTTCTCATTTATTAGCTTTGATTAATTCTTTGTATATAGTCCAGCACATACTCGGAATTTTTAGCGAAACCCGATGACCATAATCATAGTGTTCAACGAATGCCATATTCCAAACATGTGAGGCAAAGAAACTGCTTGTAGATTACACAATTATCGAGCCAATATGACTTCAAAGAGCTTATAGCAATACCAAAAGATTGCTACAAGTTCCAAAGCATAAGTCTGCACATCTCCTGCAGACAAATACACCTTCAACTGATGTATTTGATGTTGCTTCCTAACAACACGCACCCTGAGCTGTCGAGCTCAACTCTTTTTGCCTCCGCTTGGTTTCCTCACCCATATCAACTCTTCTAAGTAGAATGCACTATACCATAATCTTTTGGCTCAATATTTCTCAGCCATTGATATAACAGTTACTCTTGGTAATTATGGAAATGTGTGTTTGACTGATTTTTACTTCGTTTTTTCAACAGAGGATAAATCAATCGCATCTTTATGTGTATAGTGGATAGATTTATAGGGCCATAAATGGGCTGAATGTTGGTGAAATTTTTTGTTTTCCTTTAGGAGGGTTATTTTTATAATTTACTAATATGTGATCATTGTTAATACAAAACTATTATATTATACAAACCTGAATTAACCAGTAGCTAGAAAATAATTAATGACACATTTTCTCTATCGGGTTGAAAAATATTAAAGCACATGACACAAGCTCACTCATGAAAAACTCATTAGTCCATGTAATTAAATATTTTAACATGGATACAGTAAATGGTCCAATGGATGAAGTAAATTTGTGAGTTGCCATTTTGTGCTTCTACAAGATCAATCACCTAATCTTTTATTGTTTGTTATTCAATTAATCATTCATTTTATTCTACTTTAGTGCACTCATTAATAATGATCAATGAACTATTTTATTTTCTTTATGTTTTATCTATCTCACTAGAGCTCTTTTAAGCATGATAAACTTATCTTTGGATTTAACCATTGAGCATATAAATTGTAGTAAATGGTTTTGAAAAGAATAATAAAGTTTTTTTCACTCTGCCAATAAAAGATTTTGACCAATTAGAGAATAAGAGCAACAACATTAGTTATGGTCAATTCTAGTGCAGACATAAATCATGTCCTTGATTATTTTAGTTTTCTTAAAAACACTATTTGTTCTTATTTTTGAATTGAATACTATATGTTCTTGAAAGTTGATATATTATATAAAGATAAAATCATTAATATTTTACTTATATATGAAGTAACTAGACCTTATAGTTATTGAGTTTGGTGATGCATGCATCATGCATTTGAAGTGAAAATTGATGTATGAGTTGGTTAGAAAGTGATATACTATCTACTAAATCTCCCATCCCTATTAGTAAACTTAATTTTTTCTCACATTTGTTTCAATCAGCCACCAAAAATAACAGCCCAATTAAAAGCATAGACCTCTAATTCGTTGAATATGATGTTTAAATTCCATGCATTTGCGTCTTATATTAGTCAACAAATATACTTTTATTGGTGTTTATACTGCTTTAATTCTATTTATTTATGCTGTAATTGTTGTCTATATTTTTTTCATGATGAAATGAATGATTGTAGCAGAATAAATCGAAATCCAGTTCACACCCACAAGAGAAGACATACAAATGATTACCATATCTCAATGTCATCATCGACCAACCTTTCTCATCCCATACAACTAAAGTCATATTGAATAGTTTCCATTACTAAAACATAGGTAAATCTCAGATCTCAAAAAAATTAAAGTCCTTTACATGGTGCCATTTGAAATGCAGGTTTGATTGTTGATAGTTCACGGGATTAATAAATGAGATTAGTAGTTTTTAAGCTTTACTAAAATATTAGAAAACTGAATAGTCAATCGTTTTTAATTTAGGCGTGAAACAATAGCTTGCTTTGCATTGTCTTGAAATATATACAAATGTCATTGGCTCAATTCCATGCACTTTTGACTTATATTAGTTAACAAATGTAGTTCCTTGAATGTTCAATTGAAAATATGCCATGCTGTTACGCCAATAAACTTTATTATTCACTAAACTACTTTATGATAAAAAGACACTGCCCCTACTTTTCATTCAAATCCATGATTCATCATTTGAAGATTTGTTTTACTAAATATTTGAACTCTGACTATTTATGTTTGCTAAGTTCACCTTTTTGAATTATCTTACCATTTAAATATGTCCTATTTAAATGAGTACTATTTTTTATTCATGTACGAATGCAAAATCATTATGAACTAAACCAATGTATGTATTGATTATACAAAACAAATCCTAATACAATTCACGCTGTAGACTACACAAGATTACCTTATCTCAATGGCACTAGTGACCAATAGAGCTACATCTTGATTCATTTTCTAGTTTCAACCAAAGTCTCTTGTAAATGCATACGAGAGAAATAAAACAACCACAAATATTAAAAGGGGAAAATATTAAAGGCCTTGTGAAACAAGAATGCGTGGACTTCATTGCGTTATATGTAATCAGTTATTTGCCAATAAAACGAAAAATCAATTGAGCATCTAAACGCTGCGTATCAATCGTACTTGTGTTGTTCGTTTGTTCGTTATCTTCTTCAAACAAACGAACAAACAAACAGACAAAACAGAGAAACTCACAGGTCGGATCTGATTCCTCTGCTGGGGATCAGATTCTTCAAGCCGACGATTTCGCCAATAGGTAAAAGCTGTATACAAAGATCTTTGATTGATCACTCAAATAGGGTCTCTCAATCTAAATATCAAAAGTATTATTCATCTTTTAAACCTCTTTGAAGTGATTATTATTTAATAAAGTCTTTAACTTTTATTTCACTTTTCTAAATTTATTTAATCTATAAAGCAGAGTTAGTGAATAGTTTTATGATTTGTTTGTGGTGTGATTGAAGTTAGGTTTTGGATTTTGTCTTTTTGGAGTTTGTTCTTTTAGTGGATGACATATCTGGAAACTGTTCTTGAGCCAATAAAAAGTTTTCTTCTTTATGATTAGAATGAAATAAAATAAACATTCATCAAACTTTTGCAAAATAGTCTCTCTTCTTCAATAGTTCCTTACAGTGGCCACTCTTAACTCCATTTCATGTCCACTTAATATGTATCTGAACTTTCTTTATTGATCCAATAAAGTTTTCTGCTTTTATGTACAAAAGAAATCAAACTTTGCAATGAATCTCTCTTCAATAGTCTTTAAGATATCACTAATAGCCACTCTTCTTGACTTGTGATGTCTCTCTTTGTTGAACTTTCTTTCATGTGTTGCGTTAATAACCTAATTTATGTGTGCAGGTCACAGTCTTCATCTTTGGTCAACGCTAAGGTTTTAAGGTTCACATAAGTATCAAGAGATTCTAGGAACTTTGGTTATGGATTCTGGTAATGGCCATCAAGAGCCATATCGAACCAACTCTTTTAGCCGAGAGAGCAGTCTAGGCTCTTCTTTAAGTTTATCACGTAGCTTGCCTCTATTCATTACCAATGATGTGGATAGTGAGAATGTCTCAGAGGCTGGGGATATTGGGGACCGTTCACTTCGGAGAAGACATAGTAGTGGTAGAAGTAACCGTTTGTTTTCTTCTGGGGATTTGTTAGAACAAGGGACTGATGATACTTCTCGTCAAGAACAAGGTGCATTACATAACATAAGCTCTGTAATCAAACCTTTGCCTGAGCACATGACAGCATCACCTTTACCAACTAAGTCACTCTTGTCTCCTGAGACAAACAACCCGGTAAAGAGCATTTGTAACTTCTTATAGTCACATTAAAACTGTTAGTATTGGTTTCTCTTTTTGATTTATGATAGCTCGTTATAGGTAAAGAAGGAAGAGCCTGTGTTACCAAAATCCTTGGAATACATATCTTGCCTGATTCATTTGGCTGTTTTTGGGATCCTTGGGGTGTGTCTCTGAGGCCTTTCTCTTCCTGCTATGTTTTCGTTTTACTCATTGTGATTGTTATCTACAGGCTATTACGAGATATTTGCTGCAGAAACTGTTTGGACCAAGTGTTGCTCGAGTAACCAGTGATGGTAGCATCTTGTACCTTGATCTCCCCTCCAACATGGTAAAACTCACGTTGCACGCATCTTGTAGAACTATGTTTCTCTTAAAGATAATCTTCCTCATGATTCTTTATTAGGTAGGATCATTCTTGATGGGTTGGTTTGGGGTCGTGTTCAAAGCAGATATAACGAGAGTTTCCGAGTTTTTAGCGATAGGATTATCAACTGGCTACTTGGGAAGCCTCACAACATTCAGTGGTTGGAACCAGAAAATGCTTGATCTTAGTGCTGATGGCAAATGGTTGTACGCTGTGCTTGGCTTCCTTTTAGGTAAAAAACAAAACAGAACACTCCAAACTTTATATGGATGAACAAAAATTTTGATTTCATCATAATGTTTTTGTTGCAGGATTGTTTCTTGCATCATACTCCATCATTCTTGGGGTAGAAACAGCCAAAGGATTCAGATGGCTACTTCACATAAGAGCTTCTTCTTCTAAAGAGGAAAGAAACTCTTGTTTTGAAGTTAACACATTCAAGAGCCATATTGTATCTATGACCTTGATGCTTCTCTTGCTTGTGGCGTTACTCACTGTGAGTGCCACTCAGCTTGTAAAAGAGTTTGACAAAGGAACAAGCGAGGCTCAGCTGTGGCTAGGATGCTTAGTTGCAGCCCCTGGTGTCTGGCTGCGATGGTTTCTTGCTCGACTCAATGGACGTGGACTGGGGAAAGATAGACAATACTTGAGGTGGGTCCCGTTTGGCACTGTTATTGCAAATGTAGCTGCGGCTTCTGTCATGGCAGCTTTGGCCACATTAAAGAAATCGGTATAAACCCTTCTCTCCCTCTGTCTTTCTCTACCAATCAGATGCTCACAAGGTAATGTATCTCTTTTTTGGATAACAGGTGGATACGAAAACATGTAACACAGTTGCTTCTAGCATTCAATTTGGTCTGTTGGGATGTCTAAGCACAGTTTCCACCTTAATGGCAGAGTTCAATGCGATGAGAGAAAGTGATAACCCATGGAGAGCCTATGCGTATGCATCTTTCACAATCGCGGTTTCTTTTGCCATTGGAACTGTTATATACTCTGTACCTGTTTGGGTGGTGGGATTCAGTTAATTGTATATAGATGAATCTTTGTGCAAAGAGTTTTACACGATGTGAATGTTATATTTGTCAACATTTGGTAGAGATGAATGATGATATTGGTGACAATAATGTTACCTTTGTGCAAAAGTTTTAAGATCAAACGTGTATATAGTGATAACTTTTTTTCCTGCTTTGCATAAAATACAATGATCTGTATTAGGATCTGAATCACACTGCTTATTCCAATGAGGTGTCTTGTAATGGTGATCATAAGATCGTAACGACTGTTTTTTACACAACACAGATTTGTGATGGTGGGCAATAAAGTTCTTGGATTTTAATCTATTTCCATCTTGTGATTATTTGTAGAACATGTATACTTGTACAATCAGATGTTATAAGTGGTTGGTGTGTTAATAAGTCTGTTTTGTTCTATAATACTCCCTCTATTCTAAAAAGATCAATGTCTTTAAGAAAATTATTTCGAAAAGTTATCAATTTTTATGTTTTCAATGCATTGTTTAGTGGTAAACTAAATAAGTATCTTTATTAAAATTTTACTAGTTAAAAGTTATGAAAAATAATTAACTATAAAGTTAATGCATTGACGCCTTACGGTCAAAATTTAATGCATGCGTAAAAATTCTAAAACGTGGATCATTCTAAAGGTAATATGTTTTATGCATCTCTTATATCCAAGACCCAATTGAACGTATAAACCCTAGAAAATAGATTCGGTTTACATGCTGCTGCAGAAATTGCACAACACGCTCGACTTCTTTATCAACTTCAGCTTCACCTTAACCGTTTGGTGAAACACAAATCGAGCAAAAATGTTTGATCTTGTGGAACAAAAAAGCTGTGTGTGAGTTCGAATTCACCAGATTAAACATTTCATTTTATTATAACAAATTTTACAGTATCGGCAAAGATAAAAAGAAGGAAATATTTTATAGTTTTCTATTTTTTAATTATTGTTTTGGATAGGATAATTATGTTACATACACATACCAGGAGACATAAGTGGTCAAGATCGTCGCAAACTCTTTTCACTTTCCTCTCATTTTGCAGTGAATGGATCATTTATATAACGGAAAAACTAAGAAATACGACATATAAGCTTTTCATCCAATGCAACACACTTGTAGTTGTGGTTGTTATCGAATCGTGACGCATGCATTTCTCAAGTAAGAACCTCTTAGATCTATTATGTAGAATTTATTATTTTTAGTCTTTAACCCCTTTGATTCAATTTTAAGATTAGTTTCATTGCAAATAAGTGAGAAAAAGGTTTGTGAGGATATCCTTGACCCCTCCCTTGTATATATGGACAAAAACATATTTTGTTCAATCTTGTTGTTTTTAGAAGAAAAATAAGGGGAAAGAAAAGAAGCGAACCTAAGATGCAAATTATATATCAAGATGAAATATTGATTTCAACATGTAAGCTTTTGAGTATGAATCTCGCATACATATTGTTTATGGAGCATTATTTTAGCTAGTGCACAATTTTTGTCCGGGAGAGCATCTTAGTCTTGTACCCAAATTACATGAAGAACCTACTCCATACTATCAAGAAAGAAATTAAGGTGGATTAAAGACTTGAAAAACAAAATCAAATGCTGGAGAATGGATCTAGAAGGTTTTTACTTGGGAGATGAATGTCTCACCACGCGGTTGTCTCCTGGGTGGACATCAACAACAGCTACTTGAGCATGACATTCCCCGGTAAGTTGATTTGCAGTTTCCCTCAACTTCTTCTCCCTTTTCTTGAAACTTCTCTCCATGTTGTTCATGTTGTTGTAGAGAAAGAAGAAGAAGAAAAAAAATAACCGGAAGAAGAAGAAGAATGAAATTAACTAGAAAGAGTTTGATTTTAAAAGAAAAATATGTGGTCACAAAATCTTATCCTCTCAAGGTTCTTTTTTCTTTGTTCAAAGAAACAAGGGAGAATTTGCTGAATAATCATATTTGCAATCAAAATTAAATAAATGGCATTGATTTTGACGTAATGTAATAACTATCATTTACGTCAATTATCATCCGGTTTTACCTTTTCTTCCTGTAATCATTCGGTAACTTTTTGTTGTTGAAAATAACATAGCCAAAATATAGTATGGTGAAGTTCAAATTAAGACTATTCAATTTGAAAGAAAAGGATGTAGCCACGTATCAATAGTATTCACCGAAAAAAGTTTTACTGTTGATCAATGATGAATCACTATTAATTATACTCACATCATGCAATCACTATTAATTATACTCACATCATGTGTTAAAAGAAAATTTAAATTAGAAATTATATTTCATTTACTACAGATAGCAAAGTCGAAGAATATACAAGCACATGATTTAAAAAATTTTGATTGTTCTATTTCATATTACTAAAATAGTATTAAACACCAACCTTTTTTCAACACCTAAATAATAAATATTATCCTAATCCCATCCCAACCCTTAAATACTAAACTCTAAACCCTAAACACTAGACACTAAATCCTAATCACTTGACACTAAACTCAAATATATATCTTAAACCCAAAAACACAACTAATCGAAAGTATAAGGGGATGAACCAACAGAGTAGTAGAAGTGTCGAATCTAAAATCAGAAATTACTTGTTTTTACGTTTCATCTTCACTCACTGATGAGTTTCAAACTGGGAAGATGGACGGAAGAAGCTGCAGCATCGTAGATGGATGCACGGAGGCTTCATAATTGCAGAAGAAGGAGACAAAAACTATTGCTCTTTTCCGATTGTTATATTTTTTTACAAACTTAATAGGGTAGAAATTTTGTGACAAATGAAAAACCACGTGCACTTATTCAATAAATAATATCTAATTTATATTTAATTTTGTTTTGTAGGTTACACCGGTTTTCTAAAAGGGAAAAACTGCATTATTACATATAATACATCCTATAGTGGTGTGAATTAGGTTAAATAGCTAACGAGTGAATTATAATTATTTTTTGCGCTACTGGATGCAATTTCCCAAGAAACAATAAGGAAATATTTAGTTGACAAAAAGAGAAAAGGAAACCGGGGATCTAAACTGGGGATATAATCGAGAATTTAAACTGGGGATTTAAATCAAAGATCTAAACCGGGAATCTAAACGGAGATCTAACCCGGGGATATAAACCTGGATCCAAACCGGGGATCTAAACCTTGAGTTATATAACCGAGGTTCTAAACCAGGAATCTAAATCGGGAATATAATCGGGGATCAAAACCGATGATATAACTCAAAGTTTTTTTTTTGTCAACTAAACAATAAGGAAATGTTTAGTTGACAAAAACGGAAAAGGAAACCGGAGATCTAAACCAGATATCTAAACCGGGGATCTAAATCAGGAATCTAAACCGGGGATATAACCGGGGATCTAAACTGAAGATATAACTCAAGGTTTTTTTTTTTTTGTCAACTAAACAAGGAAATATTTAGTTGACAAAAAAGAGAAAAGGAAACCGGGGATCTAAACCGGGGATAAAATAAATCTTTCTCTTTCTCTCGTTGTCTCTCTATAAGACAAGACAAAGAGACACAAATAAAGAGAAAACTTTTATTTTTATATCACGAGACGGCGACGTAGGTGAAAGATGTCGGAGGAGAAGGCGAGTGTGTTGTCGTGTAATTTCTGCAGCTGCAGGTAAGCCGGAACGGTTCTGTTTTCTAGGATTTCTCTGTTCAATTAGGTCTCTTGGATAATCTCAAAATCGGATCTTTTTTTTAGGTTTATTAGCTAGTTTAGTTGGTGAACCTAAGGAATTGATTTCGTATTATTGTGTAGTCTGCATTGATTGAACAAAATTTAATTCTTAAAGTGTCGAACTTTGTCCAGATACGGATGCAGCTCTGAGCAAAGTCTTGGGGAACAAGACAATGAAGCTGTGGTATGTATATTTATATATATATATATACACTGTGATTGATTTTGATTTATCTTTCTTGTCTCTCTGCAGCGAGAGGTCCAGAGGTTACAGCTTTTGATCAAGTAAGTGCCTCTCCTTCCTTCCTTGACACTTTCTCACTTTCTTAGCTTCTCTTCTTTTGGTTTCATCATTGTATGAGTCTTTTTTCTTTTTTTGGTGATCAGGAGAATGAATGGTAAAGACGACAGTTTGAGTTTCTCCGAGGTGCTATCACTTCAAACTCACCTAAAGGAGGTTCGGCTCATTGTGATTGACCAAAAGGTGGTTAATTAGGATTATAATCTTTTGTTTTGTCTCTTTTACTCATTAAAATCATGTGTTGTGTAATCTTGTTTTATTTACTATTGCAGAAGAAGATTAAGCTTGAAGAAGATAAAAGGCTTCGCAATCTGGTACTTGCTCTCCCCTCTTGTAAAAGTTATCTTCTAGGAGCCTCAGTTTTTTTTTTAAGTTTCTTGACATAAATGGCTAACCTGTTTTGCAGAAGAAGGAAGCAGAGGGTAGTACGAGTCAGGAGAAACGAGATCATGAAGCACCACTGGTGTGTTTTATACACTTACTCTGGTCCCTATCTCTCTTTTTCTTGCCTCTCACGTTTGTTCTTGACATTAAGAGTGGCTTCTATTTTTTGTAGCTTAAGATGAAGAGAGAATTTGAGAGACGTAGCTCTGAACCCGTGCAGAAGCAGTTTGAGAGATTGTGGCTTTTTAATGAGTAATGTTACTCGTCCACGCCTGTTTTGCTCTGCAAGAGTCTCTGCCTCTCATTTTTCTTTTTTTAATTTTGTGGTGTTTCTTCATCTTCACAGGAGGATGAATGGCAGAGAGCTCGAGGGCATGACTTCCTTTGAGCTGCTCCTACTTGACACTCAGATACTGCGTGCATTGGCGGGTTTGAGGGACCAAGAGCAGGGACCAAGAAGGGAACAGATAGCAAAGCTGCAGAAAGAGGTAAAAAAAAATTGATCTGATTGAATCAATTTCCGTAAATCCCCCTAAACCGCTTTTGTCTAATCTCACGTATTCGTTGTTTGTTTGTCTTTGACACAGACAACAAAGGAGCAGGACATTGTCAGGGATGAGAGCCATCGTGGTGACATTACCTCGCGGAAAAGATCTAAACCGGCGCTTCTTACCGTTTCCAGAAAGCTCAGAAGTTTCCAAAACCGTCGTCACAGGACCTTGCCATGAATTCAGACCGGTCTAACCAGAGTCAATGTGATCATCTGCCTTTGTGGCTTAGCATTCTCTAATCTACTGTGTCTTGTCCCCTTGAGTCAAGAGAGTTTAATAAATCTATTAATGTTTCTTAACTTTTGTAGTGTTTATCTATTGAAAACGAACTAATTTAGGGCTTGAGTCCGTGGGTGGCAAGTTATCAGATGTTGACGTTTTAAGAAAGACACAGCCTAGTTACGTATTTAGCCTTTGATGAGACCTTTTTAACAAGGGAGGTCGAGAACCTTCAAAATGTCTTCACCGGAACGGTTTACTTTGACATCTTTTTTGACTTGTGACACACGCAAGTACTTGTTTGTATATGGATGGAAAAGAGTTTAAGGTTTTTTTGGTGTAAAAGCACACATTCAAAAGAAGAAGGATTTGAGAGTTATACACAAAATGTCTGGACTCGAGAAAAGCATTTCATCATCAACATAGCCACTTTTCCATATCAGTATTATATTTTTGCCCCCTTTTTTTTTGTTTGTCTCACTTTTTAGAATAAATTTTGAGATTGAAAACCAAAAGGTTAGTCAAAAAAGAATAATTAAAGTGTTAAATTACACACTTAGTTAAAGTATAAAGATTAAATTATAGGACTTGAGTGAGGGACAACATCCTTGTCGTCATTGCTCAAAGTGTTCTTCAAGAACTATCTTGTTCCAAGTCTCTCTTCCACATCTCTCAACTGAGTGATCAATTTCTTGTTGCAATCATCAAGAAACAAAAAGTGAGAAACAACCACTACCGATTAAATATTAAGATGTTACTTAAAACATACATACAAGAGATTAGTATTACCTCTTTTTGCTGCGATGCAATTTGGTCCATTCTCGGTCCAAACATTTGGTCATGCAACCCTTGTAATCCACAGTTGATCTCACCTTCAAGTAACCGGAGCTCAGAGGAAGTCATACCAGCCAGCTCTCTACCATTCATCCTCCTGCGACGAGGAGGAGGAATCTAACAAATAAATACCAAACTCTCTCTACTTTTGTATTATTTACACACAGGCAGGTGGGAAAGTGGGGAAAATGAACTTACTCCTTCAACAGCCATAATCTCTCAAATTCGTTCTCGATGGATTCAGAGCTACGTCTCTCGTATTCAATCTGAGTTTGACACTGCAAAGTTACCTGGTTGGGCAGGCTTTCCTCTTCTTCTAGCTCTGTCTTCTTCTGTTAAAAGATAATTAAAAAAAAAAACAAAGATGGATTTAGATAACTAGTAGCTTCACAGTGATATTATTAAAAAAAGAAACAAAGTAAGTTTCCCTCTCACCTTGAGTTTCTTCACGGGGAGCAAGACTTGGTTAAGAAGGGTTTCAAGTAATAGAAGCTCAGCGAAAGTTAGGCCGTGGAGATCCTTACCAGTCATTCTCCTGAGAGTGGAGTATAAGAAGAATATAAGAAGATACAAGAGTGTGGGGAAATAGAGAGAATCTTTTTGCGTTGTGTTATATTTACCTGGTCAAAAGCCTTAGTCGCTTGAGTTCGCTCTCAATCAACAGCTTAGAGACAAAAAAAAAGAAAACATATGCATGTGAGCGTAAAAGACAGAGAGAGAGAGAGAGATGAAAACCAAGAGATGGTGGTAGACTTGAACATACCTGAGTTTCATCTTGATCTTCTTCTTGTGTGTGTTCATATCTGCAAAAAAAGGACCCAATCTCTTAGGTTTTTTTTTCTTTCTTGTTCATGAAGCTACTCCTAACAAAAAGTACATCAAAAGCTAAAATAAACCAAGAATCAGATCGTACATCATATACCTAAGGACTAACTAATATGAACCCAAAAAAAAAAACAGAACCTCTAAGAATGTTACCTGTTGCTTGATGATCCGCAGAAATCGCAGAGCACTCTCTCCGTAGTCTTCTTCTTCTTCAAATCTATTTTCTTCATTGTCGGATCCAACCAAACCCCACAGACAGAAGTTTTAATTTTTGCTTTTGAGATTATAACAGAGCGGACAGAACCCTTGTTTCCCCCTAATTAATATTGGATAATTTTGTTAACATTTCTTTTCTTCTTTTTTCCTTTACAAAAAAAGGAAAATTCCTATATTTAAAAAAATATAATCGAGTTATTTTATTTACTCTTATTTATTTATTAATGGACACAACAACAAAAAGAAAAATGATTATTTCGTTTGCTGAATCCACAAACTTATATTCATATAAAAAAAACTTTTTATCGCTCAGCCAAAAATCTATTCCTTTTTTTAAAAAAGAAAATCTATTACTTCTATATGATCAGGGAAGCAATCTCTTCCTCCACAAATAACAAAGCTCTTTGAGTATTAATTTATAAGGAAACCATGATCCCTCCTTTAAGTTCTTGTGCTTTTTAAGCTTCATGTGAATCATGTCTATTAAAACTGTTACATTGTTCTTGATCAGGGAGAGTAACTCATATCAGTTTATAGTTCTTGTTAAGAATCATATTGTTTATATAGATTACTTTAGATGTTCAGATATCTAACTAAATGGTTCACCCACCGCACCTTGAACTCCTCATCGCCGAGTTTACTCTCAAAACTTCTTTGGTGTATACTCCACTCACGTATCAATATGTTCAGAAAAATTGAGAGTATTCTCATAAAATACCAATCTCATCAATTCTCTTTCAAATTGGCTACTTTATTCATCTTCAATGGTATGATTATTCCCATTGAAGATAAACGATTTTCTCATTTGGTCAAATTATAGTTTCTTTTATAGTTATTTGCCAACTGAATGGAAACCAACAGAAATGTATCTTTTCAAATTTCAAAGTACTATGTAGTTAGAAGTGACTAAACGTGTAAGGGAGAAGTATAAAAGTGCATATGACTCAATAACAAATTGCTTATGAATAAATATATATGGTCTTTTTTTTATTGTAACATTCAGTCTGGATGTAATCAAGAAGAACCCTTCAAATTATTAATGAGTCGGGAGTACAATAACACTATCAAGAACAGGTCCACAAAGATGGCCGAAGTCATGAAGCTTAGTGTGATAAAACGCACTGTAAAAGGTCAACCTAGTACGGTTTGAATCAGCAACAAACCTAAAATGTCCGGTTTTGTAAGCTCCCTTACCTTCTGACACTAAAGGAAGCTTGAACGGTTGTTTTCCTGCAAATGCCTCTACCATCATTGACCCATGGCAGCCATTTTGCGCGTCTCCCACCGTGAAAGAGAGCATATATGCCTTCCCCGTGACAGTGCGGATTATCTGAGCAATTGCACTTTCTCTTCCGGCAACGAGCTCGACTGCTGCGAGTCCAAACGGAACCTTGAAATGACGGTTATCGATATACTTCACTGGTTTGAGGGACTCGATGATCCAGCCCGGAAGTGGAGAGATGAGGTCTTGGATCTTCGCCGGAATCAAGATTCCGGTAGAGTAGTTAGTGAATATGTGTGGACCAATCTCGAACCCTCCGTTTTTCACCAAGTTTCCTATAATTATTTACGTGAGGATAAAGAAACAAAGTTACAGAGTGAAGTTGAAACATCAAACTGAAATTAAGGACCAAAATGGAAAATAACATAACTTTTTATTGTTCAAAACTAATGAATGCATAATAATATACTCTTAAAATGGCTATTCTTAATAACATAGACATGATTCAAAATGAGTTAATCAATCATAAATTACAGTATAACCTCTTTAAATTAATATATATATATTAATATACACTAAGAATATCTATAAAATAATCTAATTTTATAGTTTCAAATTGAATTTTTAGTTCATTTAGTATATCTTTAAATTAATAATTTCTATAAATTAATTAAACAATTATAGTTTTGGTATAATTCTAACATTATTAATTTATAGAGGTTTTACTGTATATAGTAGAATAATACTTGTGAATCAAGTTTTAATAAAGTTAAAATCATCTTAAAATAGAAAAAAATGATATTGAAGACCAAAATTTTCTATAAACATCTTACACTGAAGATTTAGCATTTTTACCTCGGCTATACCGGAGAGGGAGAATCTCTTTGATAGCAACAACATCTACTAGGGGTCCACACGTACGGTCTTCTTGAACACCAGGGTTATAGAAAGTGACTCTAACCACGTCGGACATTGCCTTGAAAGCCCAAGCGTAAGTGTCGCCACCATCAGAGCTAAAGACTGTCTGAATGGGAAGCTCATTGGCCTGGCCAGGCACAGAGACTTTGATGTTCTCATCCTGAGCACAACTCCTAGTGGCTCCAAACGTTAGAGAATAAACCAAGCCACGCTTCACTCTCACGTCTTGAGAGATGGAGGCTAAGCTTCCTAGTCTAACCGCGTGGACCCCACGTGGGACCGGGAAATAGAATCCTCCGGGTTGAGGTCCACCGGAGACTAACTCAACGTGACCGGAGATTTGCCAGTTAGGGAGAGAGTTTGCGCCGATTATTTGTCGACCCTTCATGTTTGATTTGAGAGGGATGTGCTCAAAGTTGCCATTTGGGAGAAGCCCTATATATAAATAGAAACCATAATATTACAAAACAAATGTTTTGACATATAGTCATATTTTTTTAAAAAATGTTTTGATTTATCGTAAAAGCTAGCGAATATGAACAAAATGGTAAGAGTTTCTTACCATCGAGATGAGGAGTTCTACGTGGTCGGAGGCCCCGGCTGTGACTGTAAGAGCCATGGCATAGAGAGAGGAGGAGGAGAAAGCAAAGAGAGTGATTAAGAGACATTTTTAAGTTTAAGATCACTACTCTTATTAATTAGCTCACTTATTTCAAGAAGGACCTTGGAGCCTATATATAGGGTTAGGTAACACTAACACATAATAAATTAGTAAATATGAGAAAGATGATGAAGCTTCGTGTACATTTTAGGAAGTATAGAATAAAATTGTTTATTTTAAAAGTAGAATAATAGTTTTCATATGTTAAGCAAACGTATAATATAAGAGATGCGAACACAAACTAGGGCCACGTTGAACGACCGCACCTTACGAGCCGCATAGTGTGACTCATTAATTCTCTATATGCCACTTAAGCTATGCAGTGTTCATTAAGCATTGTTCTAGGATACATGTTTGAACAATTTTTGTCCAAATACAACACAAGATGGTAAATTTTATCAAAGAGATATGTCTACGTGGATGACATTTCTTGTTAAGATGAGTTGTGTCCGCTACAACTATGTCCATATGCATATGTCTTACGTGGATGACATTAAATCAGATCATTTCTTCTAGTTGTTATTGGCTACGCCATATTTACCTCAAGACGCTTCACGAAATCGATAAAATTGAAGAAATGAAAATATTAGCCATGCATTTCTTGATTTTTAAAATTGTAACAATATCAATATGTCCAGGCAAATTGTGAGTAGTCTCATAACATATCAATCTCATTAATTCTCTTTCAAATTGACTACGTTATTCATCTTCGATGGACAGGATTATTCCCATCGAAGATAAACGATTTTCTCATTTGGTCAGATTATAGTTTCATTTATAGTTATTTGTCAACTAAATGGAAACTAACAGAATTGTATCTTTTCAGATTTCAAAGTACCTATATAGTTGACTAAACGTGTAAGGGAGAAGTATAAAAGTGCCTATAACTCAATAACAAATTGCTTATGAGTAAATATATATGTTTTTTTTATTGTAACATTCAGTCTGGATGTAATCAAGAAGAACCCTTCAAATTATTAATGAGTCGGGAGTACAATAACACTATCAAGAACAGGTCCACAAAGATGGCCGAAGTCATGAAGCTTAGTGTGATAAAACGCACTGTAAAAAGTCAACCTAGTACGGTTTGAATCAGCAACAAACCTAAAATGTCCGGTTTTGTAAGCTCCCTTACCTTCTGACACTAAAGGAAGCTTGAACGGTTGTTTTCCTGCAAATGCCTCTACCATCATTGACCCATGGCAGCCATTTTGCGCGTCTCCCACCGTGAAAGAGAGCATATATGCCTTCCCCGTGACAGTGCGGATGATCTGAGCAATTGCACTTTCTCTTCCGGCAACGAGCTCGACGGCTGCGAGTCCAAACGGAACCTTGAAATGACGGTTATCGATATACTTCACTGGTTTGAGGGACTCGATGATCCATCCCGGAAGTGGAGAGATGAGGTCTTGGATCTTTGCCGGAATCAAGATTCCGGTAGAGTAGTTAGTGAATATGTGTGGACCAATCTCGAACCCTCCGTTTTTCACCAAGTTTCCTATAATTATTTACGTGAGGATAAAGAAACAAAGTTACAGGGTGAAGTTGAAACATCAAGCTGAAATGAAGGACCAAAATGGAAAATAAGATAACTTTCTCTTGTTCAAAACTAATGAATGCATAATATACTCTTAAAATGGTTATTCTTAATACCATAGACAGGATTCAAAATGAGTTAATCAATCATAAATTATATAGTAGAATATTACTTGTGAATCAAGTTTTAATAAAGTTAAAATCATCTTAAAATAGAAAAAAATGATATTTAAGACCAAAATTTTCTATAAACATCTTACACTGAAGATTTAGCATTTTTACCTCGACTATACCGGAGAGGGAGAATCTCTTTGATAGCAACAACATCTACTAGGGGTCCACACGTACGGTCTTCTTGAACACCAGGGTTATGGAAAGTGACTCTAACCACGTCGGACATTGCCTTGAAAGCCCAAGCGTAAGTGTCGCCACCATCAGAGCTAAAGACTGTCTGGATGGGAAGCTCATTGGCCTGGCCAGGCACAGAGACTTTGATGTTCTCATCCTGAGCACAACTCCTGGTGGCTCCAAACGTTATAGAGTAGACCAAGCCACGCTTCACTCTCACGTCTTGCGAGATAGAGGCTAAGCTTCCTAGTCTAACCGCGTGGACCCCACGTGGGACGGGGAAATAGAATCCTCCGGGCTGAGGTCCACCGGAGACTAACTCCACGTGACCGGAGATTTGCCAGTTAGGGAGAGAGTTTGCGCCGATTATTTGTCGACCCTTCATGTTTGATTTGAGAGGGATGTGCTCAAAGTTGCCATTTGGGAGAAGCCCTATATATAAATAGAAACCATAGTATTACAAAACAAATGTTTTGACATATATAGTCATATTTAAAATAAAATAAAAAATGTTTTTAGTTATCGTAATTGCTAGCGAATATGAACAAAATGGTAAGAGTTTCTTACCATCGAGATGAGGAGTTCTACGTGGTCGGAGGCCCCGGCTGTGACTGTAAGAGCCATGGCAGATAGAGAGGAGGAGGAGAAAGCAAAGAGAGTGATTAAGAGACATTTTTAAGTTTAAGATCACTACTCTTATTAATTAGCTCACTTATTTCAAGAAGGACCTTGGAGCCTATATATAGGGTTAGGTAACACTAACACATAATAAATTAGTAAATATGAGAAAGATGATGAAGCTTCGTGTACATTTTAAGAAGTATAGAATAAAATTGTTTATTTTAAAAGTAGAATAATAGTTTTCATATGTTAAGTAGACGTATAATATAAGAGATGCGAACACAAACTAGGGCCACGTTGAACGACCGCACCTTACGAGCCGCATAGTATGACTCATTGTCTGTCATGTTATCTCGATCGGGTTGTACTAGATCGAATATTACTAACTATTCAAATGTGAATTATATCATAATCTGAAATATGACGGTGAAAAATATGCGACGAACCTTCCAAACACTACACATCGGGTATATATTATTATTATTTTGATTATATAGTATCACACCACAAGTGATATTGAGCTGAATATTAGTGTTGTGATCAAAGAATACAAAATGTTTAAATCGTTTAACATGTTAGATGAATTGTGTGTTTTCTTGTTCTCTTTAGTAATGAATTTTTTTGAAGTAACAAAAGTGGAAGAAAAAAATATACACTTAAGTACTTACATCTACTTATATAAACCTAAACGATCTTAACTTTTAATATTCACAAACTATTAATTAGTCCTTTTCTTAAACAGAAAATGTTACTTAGTCCAACCGACATAAAGACTTTCATGCAACATAAACCATAAGCCATAAATACAATGGATCAGTGACTCCTGCATCCAATTGATGGAGCTAAAATATTGTGTATATTTTAAAAAGTAAACATATGATGATCAAATGACGCTGGAGTCGATTAAGCTATTAGATCTGTAAATGCACCATGAATCGTTTATTCATTGAATCATACGTTAGCAAAACATAGTCAACTTTTTGGTTCCTTTTCCTGCAACCGACGTAGTAAATTTGTTTTGTTTAATTAAGATTCACGATTAAATTATATAAGGAATGTTAACGTTTAAACAAAGAAAACAGTGGACGAGATTTACAATTAATTCCGCCATGTGTGTATTCATATGGAAGGGAGCTCCACAAGTCCACATCTGGTCTCTGCTAACTAATCATCGCCATGATTTGCTCACTAAGTCAAAGTAGTTTACGTCCAAACATTAAAGCCATACCAAACCGATCCATCTCTGAAAATATTTAAAGTTCAAAAATCTAAATCAATACCCAAAGTCAAAACTGAACATCTCGAAGTTTAACGATGTTCGGCAAATCTACTGACCTTGTAGTTGTTGTGTAGGCGAAAATTTTGATGAGTTCTATATATAGGATTGGAATCAGGGCTGACTCATTCATTTAATGGGCTTTTGATGCAAAAAAAAAAAATATATCCTAAATTTAATATTTATTTAAGTTTTGTAATAAATATTTCTAACAGAATATTATAAATAACCTTTTTTATAAAATTCATGTTAAAAACAAAAGTATGTTTGTATAAAATGTTTTTGAATCTTTTTATTACTTCTCTTGCATAAAATAATATATTTGAACTCTTAACTATTAATAAGTAAGGAAACATGGAACTAGATCAAATGGTCTAAGCCGGCACTGACAGGAATTGGAGGGAAAGTCTCGCCTTGTTGCTTGCTCTTATTTATTTATCAATCAGCTTCAAAAACCTCTCCTTTCTGCATCCAGCTAGTGACTCAATCATCATCGTGGAGGAAATGATCAAAACAAGATGATTAGTTATTCCTATCCAATCATATCATTCAACTAAAAACTTGTGTTTTAGGGACTGCTCTGGTAACAATAAAAGCCCATTTGAATTGGAAATAGTTCCATAATAGCCCCATAAGATGTATAGTCCAGCTCAGTTAGGCCCAAACCAGGAGCCATGATTCTAGTATCGAAAGATAGTTTAGTTTGTTGTTTTTGTCATTAGATTTAATGTTGAAAGTGAGACAAGAAAAAACAAAAGAAATGTTGATGAATGCTTAAAATAAGAGGGACAGACCATGATCCATAGGTCATGATATGTGTCCGATAAAGCGAGAGCTAAAGTCTCAATCAATATTACTGCCAAAGATATATTTGTTGGGACATTTTTCAATCACTTTCTTTTTTGAAAAAGGAATAGAAAAAGTTTGCATAAAATGATAGAAAATAAACAACAAAAAAAGTGGGGATAGCTTTGCTTTCAACCTTCCACATGCCCCATTTGGTACACTACAAGATGGACAGCCGAGTTATGTCCTTTCACAATTTCCTTTCAGTTTTATATATCTTATACCTCTCTTGTATTTCTTATCTATATATATACATCTTAAATAACTGACAGAATCCTGTAAACTTTCACGATTAATATGAACTTTAACATTATGTTACACTTTTTTTGAATATATAACTTTACTAATTACATCGTACAGTTGGTAAGCTACAAATGGTAATTAATAAATGAGAATAAAGTTTTTGGTACTACATTCCACCTACAAATCTGTAATGATGAGAGCATAAATCTCGGCTTAATCTTCGTGTTAAGAATCCTAAAGCAAAGTCATGAATTGGAATTCGAAAATGATTACGCAGAAAGTTAGTTTGATAGGTAAAGTATTCATATGCTAAGCTAATGACTTAGTTTTCATCGTCTAATATTTTATTTATTATTAGTTGTTAGTTGATGAAACTTTGAAACAACCAATTTGACTTTTTAGAATCATCTTATCTTATCTCTCACGAGTTTAAAGCAAAGAGGTGTTTCCATCATTATGTCTTCTCTTTTTCTTGCTGCTATTCTTATGATTTGCCTGATACCTAATTCGTCTAATATCAATTATTTATGAAACTATTAATATTAATCAGAAGATAAATTGTTTATGCATCCAGTGAAAATGTGAAGGAAGATTACACCGACAAGAAAATAATCAAAAGCCAATCATATCTTAAATCAAAAAGTGAGTTTGCATTGTTATGCTTGACAAGACTGAAACGAGATGAAAAATCTTTGCTATAAATAAAATTAGTGGTAACGTCGATTTAAAACTAAAAATAGTATTCTTCATTTAATATTAGTTAAATTTAAATCAGATTCAAAAGTTTTGATGTTGTTGCTAATTACCGTTTGCAGCCGTAAACTCGATGAATATTTGTATTAAGAGAAATTGACCAAATCCAAAAGAATGAGTAAAACGTTTTGTTTGTATTGAGTTGTTAAATATCACATCAAAACTAAATTAGGGAAAGTTTATCGTTTAGAATTTTGGATACGTTTTGGAATTGGTGTAGAGATTTCAGAAAACAAAAGTTGATATTGACATTATGAAATAAAAATAAAAGAACAATCGATTGGACGGGTGGTGGTCGAGGCAGACAAAGTCGGGTCCTACAATTTGCCTAACCATAAGAGCTACTTTCCTTTTCCACCCATACTGTGAGTGACCCCACACATTCTTTCTCGTTCTATTATTCTCAATCTATACAACTATAAATAAATATTTAGTAATGCCGATTCTAAACACAGCCAAAATGAAACATTCACATTTATCTTAATTTTTTTTTAAAATATATTATACATAGATGTATGACCTTCGAATTGTTTTAATTATGTTTGATAAAGATTAATATGGTTTTTTAAATTTCAAATCCTGTCTTGTTACATAAGTGATTTAGCTATTCTACCTTCTTTTTATTTCTTTTAGTATTTGACTTAGAAAAATTGTAATATAGATACACTATCTTTATTGCGGTGAAGATATCCTGAAGACATTCGTCCACAACAACTCCACTTAACTGGATCAAAACAACCACCTAACAGGTTAAATGAATCATATTCCAGATTGAGTTTGGCATAAATTCAGAAGCAAACTTCAACATATCACACTGCCGATTTTTAACAAACAGATTGAGTTTGACATGTATCCAACATTAGTTTCCATGTTTTGTGTCGTTTATAAAGAAACTTAAGGCAAACTCTATGCAGTGTTTTTTATATATAAAACGTTGCTATATATTTAACATTAGTTCAATAGATTAGAGATGGATTAATCATTAAAATTCAAAAGAGACTAATTTCGATGTTCGGGCCGGACATTTGAGGAAACATATCTTCTACCAAGTCTTGAGGACATATGATTATTACAAGATTCTTAAGTTTGGATCCTTAATACACATATATATATGTATATATTATATAAGCGTATATAATTACAGATTAAGAACTTTACGGAAACCAAAGCCGAAAGTTCCTTAATTAGAAATTTTCGGCTTTGGTTTCCGTAAAATCCTTAAACCATAATTATATACGCTTATAAAATATATACATATACATATATGTGTATTAAGGACCCAAATTTAAAAACTTTGCAATAATCATGCACTACAACTCATTTATTTCGTAGAGCATCTTAAAAAAAAAAAGAATGTTTCGTGTAATTATTATCATTTCATTTTTCCAAAAAAAAAGAATTATTATCATTTCGTTAATCCGCAAATCAATCATATCCATTCATACTGACCACATACGGTCTTACCGCAGGAGAAAAATTATGTTTCACCCTGTGTGATTCTTTAACATATAGATACTACTATATTCATGAATGACATCAAAATTGGTAACTTCAAACATCGATCGTGGTTAAAGTAATCAACAAAACATCCCAAGAAAGTAGAAAAAGTGTTGGTTGCATGTAGAGCGTAGATGTAGCCTACGAATCATGTCTGCGAAATACGAATAGGAGAATATTATAAGTTTTCTTTTAAGATATAATGAGTAGAGTTATAGGTTCTGTAAACCAATTTGTTTTGCCTGTTATATTTGATTTTAACATCATAAGAGGCATTATGTCGTATCTTCTCTATTAAAAGAGAAGTACCAAACTTATCTACTATTTAGAAGTCATGTTGCACCATGTCATTAATTATTTTATTTGACATTTTTGATTGTTATATTAACAAGTCAAATGTATATTATATTCAAAAATCTTAATAATTAATAAGGATTAATAATAAACAAATTTGAATATAACAAAATCTGTTGAAAATATCTAACAAGATCTTACCAAAAAAATTTAATATTTTTTATAGAATGAATATTTCTTTATTTCGTTATTATATATAATTATAATTTAAACTAAGAGTAAATTTGCTCAAAATACTAAAAGAAGTGGAATACCTTAATTTTAGGGGAAAATATTGATGATGGAGGGAATAAAAATGGGGGGAAATAGGGTATGGAATGCAAATAGGGTAAATGTTATGGGTAGGGAGTGCAAATACTCTTAAACTAAAATATAAATCATGTATTTCAAAATTTTAGTTATAAATTTATAAAATAAAAAATATACCCGCACGGATGTGCGGGTGAAACTCTAGTATATGTTTATAACAAGATGTATGTTGTGGTTATGACGTAAAATCATTTTCTACGTTCGAATTTAAAATAAAATTTGGGAAAAAGAAATCTTCATTTGCTCTTCACTGAAGATATTTCTGGCAGAGGCAATTAAAAAAGATTATAAAGTGAAATAAAAAACAAGAATGGTACAGAAAAACGTCAGAGGAAAAGAATTATCAAAACGTACACAGTTCATTTCTCTTTAAACTTTTTAAAAATTATTTTTCTTATTAAAAGTGAAAAAAAAAATGTGTCAGATAAATTTATGCAGCTTTCATTCATTCATTCGTCAATCACTTGCACTGTCTCGTGAAAAAATAAATCTTTGTAACAAACAATTAATATAATACTTATATTTAATTTATATAAAAAGTTAGAAAAAAGAAGAAAATATATTCCCTCGTTTCCAAGTGCGTTTGCTTTTGTTCAGTCTCTCTCTCTCTCTCTCCTCTGTCTCTCTGAAGTGAGGATCTTTGTTTGGTTCTGTAATCATAATTATATATAACAAAACATGAAAATGTATTCTCTTCTCTCTGTTCTCTAAATCCATTTCTCCCTGAAACTATGAGCTTTGCTCTCTCTCTCTGTCTCTAAGACACTCACTCACACTCAAAATCACTTCTTCTTTTTTTTTTTCTCACAAATCTAAGATGGGTTTTGTCACAGTATCTCTAACTCAAAGACCAAATCTTTAATCAGTGTTTACATGGCGAAAAGATCAAAACTTTTAATTTCAATCACTCTGTTTCGCATATGTTCTGTGAAGAAGAACAAGACTGTGTGATTGATTGATTTACTTCTTCCTCGATGGCGTTATGGTTCGTGTCACTTCTTCTGATCATTGGGTTCTTATCAAAATCTGATCTTGGCTCAGCTCAGCTAAGCGATGAAGCTACATTGGTAGCTATAAACAGAGAGCTTAAAGTTCCAGGATGGAGTAGCAACGGCATAGAGTATTGTAATTGGGTTAGGCTCAAGTGTGGTGCCAACAACACGTTCGTTGAAATGCTTGATCTCTCTGGGCTTAATCTTAAAGGTAATGTCACTCTAATCTCTGACCTCAGAAGGTTAAAGCATCTAGATCTTTCCGGTAACAGCTTCAATGGACCAGTTCCTGCTTCCTTTAGCAACTTGTCTGAGCTTGAGTTTCTTGATTTGTCTTTAAACCGTTTTGTTGGTGGGATTCCAGTTGAGTTTGGTAAGCTTAGAGGTCTTAGATCACTCAACGTTTCTAATAACTTGCTTGTGGGAGAGATACCTGATGAGCTTATGGTTCTAGAGAGGTTAGAGGAGTTTCAAGTGTCTGGAAACGGGTTAAATGGTTCTATACCTAACTGGGTAGGGAATCTGAGTAATCTCAGGGTGTTTACAGCTTATGAGAATGAGTTGGTAGGTGAGATACCAAAAGGGTTAGGTTTGGTTTCTGAGTTGGAGTTGTTGAATCTTCACTCAAACCAGCTTGAAGGGGAGATTCCAAAGGGGGTATTTGAGAAAGGGAAGCTGAAAGTTTTGGTCTTGACACAGAATAGATTGACCGGTGAGCTCCCTGAAGAGGTGGGAACTTGCAGTGGCCTCTCTAGCATAAGGATTGGGAATAATGAGCTTGTAGGAGTCATTCCGAGGACTATTGGTAACGTGAGTGGACTTACTTACTTTGAAGCAGACAATAACAGTCTCTCAGGTGAGATTGTTGCAGAGTTCTCAAAGTGTTCTAACCTCACTCTGCTGAATTTAGCAGCTAATGGGTTTGCTGGAACCATTCCAACAGAGTTTGGTCAGCTCATGAATCTTCAAGAGCTGATTCTCTCCGGTAATAGCCTTTTTGGTGAAGTCCCTAAATCGTTTCTTGGATTAGGAAACCTCAACAAGCTTGATTTGAGTAACAACAGACTCAACGGCACCATCCCTAAGGAACTCTGCAGCATGCCAAGGCTTCAGTATCTGCTCCTTGATCAGAATTCTATAAGAGGAGACATCCCACATGAGATTGGAAACTGTGTGAAGCTGCTTCAGCTCCAGTTGGGTCGAAACTACTTGACTGGAACCATACCTCCTGAGATTGGTCACATGAAGAATCTGCAGATAGCACTTAACTTGAGTTTCAACCATCTTCACGGAGCACTGCCTTCAGAGTTAGGAAGACTGGACAAGCTCGTGTCATTGGATGTGTCTAACAATATGCTTACAGGATCCATACCACAACAACTAAAAGGTATGATGAGTTTGTTTGAGGTTAATTTCTCAAACAACCTCTTGAGTGGTCCAGTTCCAGTCTTTGTACCCTTTCAAAAGTCTCCAAACTCGAGCTTCTCGGGAAACAAGGAGCTTTGTGGAGCGCCATTGAGCTCTTCTTGTGGATATTCTGATGATATTGAACATTTGAGGTACAACCACAGAGTCTCCTACAGGATTGTGCTTGCAGTGATTGGTTCAGGTGTTGCTGTCTTTGTATCAGTCACTGTGGTGGTTCTTCTCTTTATGATGAGGGAGAAACAAGAGAAAGCAGCAGCTAAAAACGTCGATGTTGAAGAAAACATCGAGGATGAGCAGCCAGAGATTATAGCTGGGAATGTCTTTCTTGAGAATCTAAAACAAGGGATTGATCTTGACGCAGTTGTGAAGGAAACTATGAAGGAGTCAAATAAACTCAGCACAGGAACTTTCAGTTCGGTTTATAAAGCCGTTATGCCTTCAGGAATGATCGTCTCAGTGAAGAAACTCAAGTCTATGGATAGAGCCATAACTCAGCATCAGAACAAGATAATCAGAGAACTTGAGAGACTCAGCAAGCTTTGTCATGACCATTTGGTTACACCCATTGGGTTCATTATATATGAAGATGTTGCTCTCTTGTTGCATCAGCATTTACCTAATGGTAACTTATCTCAGCTGATTCATGAGTCTTCTAAAAAACCAGAGTACCAACCTGACTGGCCAATGAGACTGTCAATAGCTGTTGGAGTAGCAGAAGGTTTAGCGTTTCTCCACCATGTCGCCATTATTCACCTTGATGTTTCTTCTAGCAATGTCTTGCTAGACTCTGGTTACAAACCTGTGCTTGGGGAAATCGAAATATCGAAACTTTTGGATCCATCCAGAGGCACTGCAAGTATTAGCTCAGTTGCTGGCTCCTTTGGCTACATTCCTCCAGGTATATAAAATGAAGTCTTTTACTTTTTGTTACCAATAACTTCATAAATTCCAACACATTTTCTTGTTTTTTAATTCCCTCAGAGTATGCATACACAATGCAAGTGACTGCACCAGGGAATGTATACAGCTACGGAGTCGTGTTGCTTGAGATTCTAACCTCAAGAGCGCCGGTGGAGGAAGAGTTTGGTGAAGGAGTAGATTTGGTGAAATGGGTCCATGGAGCTTCAGCGAGAGGAGAAACACCGGAACAGATACTTGATGCTAAGCTTAGCACTGTGTCTTTTGCTTGGAGGAGAGAGATGCTTGCAGCTCTGAAAGTTGCATTGCTTTGCACAGATATCACACCTGCAAAAAGGCCAAAGATGAAGAAAGTAGTTGAATTGCTTCAAGAGGTTAAACAAATCAAATGAGAGAATGAATATACATTCATATATATATATGCGAGATTTAATGTCTTATGATAAACTGCGATCTTCGTTAGCTTATGGTTAATATGCTTTATCTAATTGCACAAATTAAAAATTGGATTGTAGAAGAGTTCAGTGTACATTCCTTTCAACAAAGCCTTTTTTTCTGTGTAGCCTCAAATAATCTTTAGAATACAAGACAACGTGAAAAGCAGATGGCCTCTTTGTAAAATTTTACACAGCACACCAAAAAGAAACAAATGAATTGGATAAAAGAATAAGTGAAACAGCACAAGACCTATGATCAACAACCAGCAGCTTTAAGGAAGTTGTCGTAAGGGCTCGAGGCTGGTAGTTTATATGCATGTGTGTTGTCTTGGAGTTCTGAATAGCACTGTGTCTGAATAGTTCCCATTGGTGTTCTTGGTGACTTCATTGGTGGTGTTCTTGGCGATCTCATGTCAAAGTCCATTCCCAGTAGAGGGACTTCAACCTAAACAAGTTTTTAAGTAATCAATACAAAAAATGATATGATTCTCGTTGGCCTGGATTGGTTTTAAAGACTATAGGCATATATACCTCGGTGTCAAATGCAGAGTTGATCATGGGATGGAAAGTTGGACTCTTTATCTCTTCACCATGCTGTCGTGGAGAGGCGTTACAAGAACTCTCATGTTGTAGCTGAGAATGTAAGAGACTTGAGATCTTTTGTTGTTTTCCCATTAACAGATTCTCACAGTGAAGCGTCATTTCTTTGTATGAAGCATCGGCTGCAGTGTGGAAGGAGATTCTACCCACTTGACGTGTTGTCTCTACGACCTTTTCAACGAAACAAAAAACAAGTATAGTTAGTATGAAGGTGATGACAGTATGTAATATAATTTCTCGAACTTACAGATTCTAGAATTTGATTGACGCTCAGGAGGTCTGGGATTTCAGCAACTGTTACAGGATTATTTTTTGCGAATTCTTGATCCTCGTGAGAGAAGAGTACCGCATCCTGAAGATACATACCAAGGATCAACACAATGTTCATCTCAGGGTTTTGAAGAGTTATGTGAAACAGGAGAGCTAGTACCTTTTGGGGTTTAAAATCTCCGAAGTCACTCTGAAATGATTTCTGGGTGTCTTCTACAAAGCGTGTTCCAAGTGGACATGCATCATCCGGCATGAAGTCAGTGAGCAGCTGCTCTCGCATTTTGTCCATTTCAGACTGAAAAATAGGTTACTCTAGTGACTAAATGATTTATTAGAGCGGTTTAGTGAGGGAGATAGTGACAAAAAAATGGACTTACATTGCACATATCTTCTAAGCTTTTGACAATTTCATAGACAAGGGTTCCTCTGCTGTGTTCAGTGGAGATTGATATGTGTGAAAGAGTATGTAAAGCTGAAGCATCATCTTCTTGGCAACCATAGGGAGATGTCGGTAGCTGATCTGGATTCACAGCCTTCAACTTGTGATCTTCAACCAAGCGCAAGAATGGGTCAATCTGAATCAGGTAGAAGAGGAAGTTAAAGAAGATAGAGAAATAAACATCAGGGAGTGGCAGTGTTTTCACCACAATGATCAGCGTACCGTTGGTCCCTGAAGTGCTACTTTTGTGAAATCAGCCAGAGGAAAAAGATTGAATGCTTTTGCGGAAAAGAGAACCATCGATGCAGCTAGAGTGAAGAGTGACCTTCGTCTCGATGGAGGAAGTGGTCCTGAAAACATTAGGAATAATTTACTAGCATCCAAAAAGATATGAAGCAGAGTTGCAAAGTAACACAATAGCTTTAAAGATGTTCAAACACATCTCTTCCTCCTTTCACGGATATAATGTGGCAAAACCGCAAAACTCTTCCTCATAATTTAGGAACAAAGGATAAAGGATCAAAGAACATGTGGAAGCTCACCTCCTTCCATTAAAGAAATATCTCGCAAAGAAAGTGCCATTTGGAAACTTCGAATCAAAGCGTCGTGACTTGAATTCTGAAAATAAGAGTTTTGTGATATGTTTAACAAAACGTTGTAAGCAAATAATTCAATTCCTAAGAGATCTAATCAGACTTTGCTCAAAGATCTTAAGAAACAATAAGTACTCAAGTGCAGAGGTAAAAGTCATTGACATGAACTAATATATTACCTTAACACGTGAGAACAACAACACAAGACTGTAGGTGTTAGCAATCGCCTCGTAATTCTCTGGTGTGTTTGCAGGAGATATGGACTGCGCCCAGATTGATGAAAGCAACAGACCTATCTGGTGACTACTTAGCCTTATATAAACAGCATCCTGAAGAGCATATAAGAAAACATATTAGAGAGTGACTTACATATATATAGGCCTCTAGGGTCACATTTAAGTTTATGTGCTACTCTTCTAGTAAGCTTTTTCACATACACACAAAAAATAGTTGGAAGAATGTACCAGATCAGAGTTTAAATGAGCCACCGAGTGATCTTCTACTGAGGTCACTGGTTGATTCCAAGTGCTATATGCTTGACTGTATGAAGTTTCCAATTTGTCAAGGAAACTCCCCCTATTGTTTCCAGGTTCTTCTTCAGGCATTCCGTTTAGGCTCTGATCAGAAGTTAGAATTGACGAGAATTTATCCTTCCTCAGTTTCTCGAAAAGGGCTGCTGAGGAGGAAAAGACAGACGCAGTCCTTGAAAGTGAACGCGGAAGACCCATTCCTTTCTGAAGGTCAGTAGTATTTGAGGAAGGACGAGGGCAGACTGAGGTTGGTACCAGCACTACAGAAAATATACGGTGGGCGCCAATCCGTGTTTTATGATCTGGATGGACCATAGCTTGAAGTAACTGATGGAACAAAGCCTCGGGAAACGCCTGCAACAAAAAGTGTAATAAAAGCGAAATTTCATCAGAACTAATCTAATCAATCAATGCCAAGAGGAAAAATAATACTAGATGTTACTGAGAGTTTGCCTTGTTTTGATATGACAGATTTGGTATAGAGGCTATAATTTGAGCAGAGCGAAAAACAGCAGCAATTGTGGTTCTTGCCACATCTGTGACCGCTGAGATATTCTCCAACATCATTGCCATAGCATCTAGAATTGGGCCAGCATCTCCAACCTTACAAAATTTATAGATCAGTCTCACATCTCTTTAAATAAGAATGGATTGAAGAGAAAGAAGAAGATATAGTAATATACCTTTTTAGTCAGTTGGACAAGGCACTTATCGAGAGCTACGCTAACCATTCTGTTACTGTTTGCTACTTCAGATCCCAGATTTGCTTCATCTAGAGAAGAATGCATGCATTTTCTCAGGTGCCTCATTATATCACTTATTGCGCTGACTATTGCAGCAGAGTGTTCAACTTTCGCATTTTCAGCAAGGGAGGTGGTAACCTCTAAAATATTAAGTTGCATGCTTGGCTGCTTAAGCACACTTTTATGATCAAGATGTTTAATTAACATGGACAGTAGAAAGTGTGTTCTTTGCCCTGCAAGATTGCAGAACTATTTCAGAGCACTGATCATGCGGGAAGAGCTTAATAAAAAATATTGAGAGCTTAATACCAGATATATCCATTAAAAATTGCAGATCTCTTAAAACTGGGAATGCAATCGAATTTTCCATTGACCATAGATACCCCTCGTCAAAGTAGCGGAACAAAGACTCGAGTATACGTCTCATGGTTGTGGCCTCTTCACCTAGCTTGGCCATGTTGTGTAGGCAAACCTTGGACCAAAAGCTAGGGTCCAAGGAATCTTCCCTGAAAAAGAAAAATACATTGAAGAGAGGGAAAGAATCCAAAAGCGCATACGTAAGAACTGACGAGAGAAGAAATTACATTTTCACATTTAGTTCACCCTTGTCATTCACAACAGTTCTCCAAGAAGGAACATTTATATGATAATCAGCATGAGCTACATGACCTTCATTTTTCAAGACTTCATCCACCCATTTTCTACCACTATCAGACGGATTTGTTAATTTTTTGGGGTGACCATAATTTTCCAAGACTCCGGAGACAACCTGCCATGCAAGTATTGAATTGATGAGTTAACATATATTAACATGTACTACATATAACTAAGACGAATACAAAATTCTACCAGTGCCCCAAGACTCCTCAGTCCCCCAGTTCTACATGAGTTAAACTTTTGCAACGGGTAGATTGTTATAGTTTTACAGTTTTTCCCTGATTTGTCTATTGTTAGATATAACAAATCAACTAAGTTCGATGCAGGAAAGGAGATCAGATATATAGTGACTCGGAAACCCAAAAATACCTGTGAAAAATAACAGAAACTAGTGCCTGACCCTGAGATCTACTTACATTGTCAAAGTCGCTGGGAATGTGAGAGTATTCACCCATCAGCCAAATCTAGAAATAGATAAAGACCAGAATGCATCAGAATATAATTGTAGATTCAAAGTTTAGAAGAATAGAATCTAGAGAGACGTAACATCATAACCGAATTACCATTGCTGAAAGAGCTTGAAGTCCAGCTGCACGCAGGCTCCGTGACCTGTCATCATCCCCACCTTCTAGTGCTAATTGGCACAGCTTTGGGAGAAAGCCTTCTAAGTTAAATAGGGCACTGCCGTCCTTCTGCAAAATTTGATAGCATGAATCAATCAAGCTATATCATTGTTTCTTATGACCTATTTTATCTGACAGCACCCTGGCATGTGGCTACAAGATAAGTCTATAAAGCATGTAAGACGCTGACCTGATTATTTACAAATTCGAAAAGAGACTGACATCCAACTATTTGCATTTCATCTTGTCGAGTTTGGTCCAAAAGAGCTTGCACTGTCCTTAGAAAACCACTAGAATAAAGAGGCCTGAAAAAGGGAAAAAAGACAATTAATCAGGTTACCTAAACATTTCCTGCTGTAGTGTTAGATTACAGTTTTCGAGTAAGTTTCTTGGGTTCTTATGTTTAAGCCACAGAATATCAAAGAGAAAATATGAGGTGTTTGTAAGGAAAACTAAAGAAGGATGACCTCACATTTGCTCCTTACAAGTGACCAAAAGCTTTCTGTATATGCACATGACTATCTTCGCCGACTGAAAATTCTCATTCCTCAACTCCTTGTAACATCTTTGTTCGAGAGAATCTGATATCTGGAAAATCATATATATTAACAACAGCGACAGACAACTTAGGAGAACAGCAATCTGACTGCATTGCTTTAACGAGTAATCTGACTTAAATCTATGAACTGACCAAAACCAAATGTAGGAGTTGCTAATATCCAAACTAAGTTACTAACAAAAACATTTTCACAATTTTCACAAATGTAATGTGCCTAGACTTGCCGTTGGGTAAATTATATTATACCTTTGGCATACGCACAGCATTCTTTGCAGCATACTCACATAGCTTACCAATCTTCCTGTCATTTGGGCCTTCCTCCTGTCAGAAATAGTAAGCAGTGAAAAGTTATTAAACCAACCCACCAAGATAACCGAGAGGTAAGCTCCCACTTCCCATTCTAGTAACACAGAACAAAATGTCTCATTTACTAAAGACAATGACTCAAAGCGAAATTAAATGCAGATCAACAAGCTTTAAACATAGAAAAGAGGGACAATACAAGATTATAAAACGCCAAAATTATGCAACTTAGGAAAAAATAGAAACATAGATTGCAGAACTAGTAGCGATTGCATCATCAAAAAATGCCACTTCAGCCAAAAGAGTGCCTAATTTAGCAATTCAGAGCTTCCAAAATAGCATGTCAAAAGTAAGTCACTGTTTCACAGGTAGTGACAAAAGAAAACAACAAGTAAACAAAAAGTCTAATATAGAAGAGAGGCTTATAAATGACGAACCTGATTACGAGGGAAGATATCAGAGATAAGCTTCTTGTACCTCTTGACAGGCTGCCTAGACCTAGCACGAAGCGCAGGGCAAAGAATACAAAGACTACCACAAATTGGCAATACTTGCCTCGAGATTACACCCGACACTGCACTCATATTCTAAATTAATAAAAAAAAAAGCAAGTTCCGGCTGAATCTCTCAAAATTATCTCCTCTCCTCCTTCTTGATCCACCGACAAAGCCCTAGAGAGAGCTTCCTCGGTCCAAGAAGGATAACAGAGCCTCAACGATTCAATCAAATCGCTTACTCCTTTCAAAACTCAATACCTTCCCCTGAAATTGAATAATCACATTACTACTGCTTCTAATCTAAATCCAGAATTGTCTAATCAGTGATTGATCTAATCACCTCGGATCAAAGCTCAAAATCAAGCCAAAATTGGAGACTGGAAAATTTGATCGGAGAGATAACTCGAATACCTATCTCCGAGTAGAGTTTTAGTCGCCGGGGAAGCTTCCAGCTAAAATGATCTTCTTCTTCTTCCTCAACGGCACGACGCGGGTTCCACCTTCTGCCGTTTCGTTTCTCGCTAATATCTTTTTTTAATTACTTTGAATTTTTTTCATAAAGGAAAATAATCTCAGCCGTCAGATGCGAATTACAGCTGGGGTTAGTTATTGCAATTTGCGCCAGCTCATTCATTTGCAAATAAAGCAAACATAATCTTTTCTAATTTATTCTAGAATTAGTACTTTAATTACTCTTATAGTGTATGTGTGCGCATGTTCTTTGAGTATTTTAGAAAGTAAAATTTGTGTTTTAGTTCACTGAATATTCTCAAAAATTCGTAGAACAAATTCAATGTGCTGATTCACTCAGTGCCGGCTCTAACCCATGGCAACATAGGCAAATGCCATGGGTCTATAGGTCCAAACAAAATTTTAGGTGTTATTTTAATAGTTATCAAAGTCCATTTTGTTTGTTAAATACTATAAAAGGGTCTTTATTTTATATTTAGCCTAAGGTCTTAAGATTTTTTAAGACGGTGCTCTTCACTCAGTCAAAAATTATTATCTTACGACGACAAGTTCACGTTGTCAAAAATTAATTACGTTTTAGTTGCACCGTTAAGTTAGCTGACTGTCACCGTTAATTGAATTCACGTGGGGTCGGTAATCTGTTTTCTTACTTTACCGCGGGAAATTACGTAACTGATGACGTCTGCAGACAAAAACAAGTTCGTTACTAGTTAGTTGACCAAGGCATGTGGCAATACCAATTTTTCTTTTGATATATAACAAAGTTCAAAAGAATGTGATTGTCTTTGGCTGTATCAAACATTAAGAAAATGGTATTTAAAAGTTTCAAATTAAGTTCAAAGAATGTGAAATTTTTCTTTGGTTTGTTGTATCAAACCAAATAAAAGATGATCAGTACTTTTGACTTTTGCCATGACTCTGCTTCTTGTTCCTCTCATGTGTTTTCTCTACATGTTCCACGAGAACTGTAACCGAAGAGAATTTTGCACCACACTGTGGACACACCTCCATCATACCATCATTTCCGCTACTGCTCGAAAACTGAAGCTTATGGCTAATGTCATTACCAAGCTTGCTAATCCCAGCTTCTGCTGAAGATAAAAGATTAGACCATCTCGAAGAAGAAGAAGAAGCTTTGTTGGTGGGTTTTGTTGTTTTAGCTTCTTTCTTGCTACGACTACTACTACTACTAGTCATGAAACTCAGGAAGCTTGGTTCGGGTTTTCTAGGTCCAGGACAAGTGTGATCAGGTCCAAAACGGTGTTTTAAGCAGTGGTCGATATTGCAATCACGGCACTTGATGGTGTTGGAGAATGTTAGCTGCTCCTTGCATCTTGGAACGGGGCATTTCTTCTTCTTTGTGGCTTTCTCGTAGTTTGATGGGTCGCAGTCTGTGTTGACATGTTTCTCCCATGTGATGTTTGGGTCTTCGTTTGGGTTTAAACGGACTCCTTTAGCACAGAGAGGGCAGACAACGACTGTTATATCTTCTCTATCGCCTTTTGGGCAAGTATGTTTCATGTAGCTTCGGTGATCCAAACAAAAGACCTGAAAAAAAAAAGATCAAATCTTTAATGACAATTTTTCAAGCAAAAACATGAGAGCAAGAAATAAGCTCAAATGTGTTATGTACACCACCAGAGAAAACAAGAGTGAGAGCACACAAGCCAAAAATTCAATTGAAAGATCAAATTTTTAATGATAAATTTCAGTAGAATCATGATGACAAGACTGCAAACATTGAAGAATTCTAGTGAATCAAGTGGGGAGAATTGCGAAATATTGAAGAGTAAGCTCAAAATGAGCATGTGATGGTTGGTAATAACAAGAAGTTAAGTGATAAAATTGAGATCGATGACGGACCAAATCAAACTCTATCCTATATCAGACTTAGTCGTAGCTACAAAAGGATAATGTTCCGAAAGATGGAGATTTTTCTCTTTGTCCTAACACGAAGTCGAAACACAAACGAGAAGAGAAAAAGAAAATGGTAAGATCGATTCAAGACAAGCGATTCCTATATTATTAATCGCAAACAAACATGAAAAGAGGAATCTTTGCATGTGATACAAAACAGAGACTCGGAACCTGGAGGCAACGGTCGCAGGTGAAAGGCAAGAAATCAATCTGCTTGCAGATATCGACGGAGCAGTGTTTACCCAGATCTGGAAATTCCGGAGTCCCCATTTATTCCGACACACAAAGAGAGAGAGCTTCTCACGGTTTCCGACAATAACTAAAACGAACACAGACAGAAAATATCTAAAAGAATTGAGAGAAACCAGATTAGAGGGTTTATCAAGCGAGAGAGATAAAAAGAGTAATCAGAATCCGCGGATTTAGAAAAAGAGCTGAAATTTCGGAGAAGAAACGTCAATTTGGATTACTTCTTCTATTCAAAGTCTCTGTCTTTTTCCGCGTTTCAGAACAATTAAGACCTTGATTTTTTAACAACTAAACCTCTATAAAATGATTTTATTCACTACAATTAGGCTGAGCTTATTATAGTCTACCTCCCTGAAATATAAGATATTTTTATAAAAAAGTTGATGTTCCATAAAGATGCTTTTAAAAGTTTAGACAAATTTTTTAATTATTTAATCGTTTAGTTTATATTAGTAACCGAGTGTTTGGTATGTTTCAAATAACAAATTTCGACCATCAGTGGACAATTGATTAAAATAAAGTGAATAGGGAGTAGTGAAAATCAAATTGGTGCAGAAATAAATGGATTTGATCAAAAAGCAAAAAAAATAGAAAATTATCATCCATTATAAAAAGAAACTAGAGCACAAAAAACTGTTTAGGAAGATGATGAAAACATAAGATGCAGCAATCCAACATGTACTAAAAGGTTCGAACAAAATTAACTCATGAAAGGATGATGATCCAAAAACAAAACAAAGGACATTGCTTGTTTTTTCATTTTTTAGGAGGCTTGGTCTTCAACAACCTCGGTGATAACTTTGGTTGTGGTTTCCTTCATGGCCAGCAAATCTGTGTACTCCTGATACGGTGACTTTTTAAAGCTCGTCTCTTTCCAGAACTCTGGTGTCAGGAATCCATAAGTCTTCTGGAGACAGTCGAATGTAGCCTACAAAATTACATTTTCCACATGATTAATCAATGAAATGATTCAAAACATTCAAGATACTGAACAAACATTTAATCGTTCATACAAAGCAAAAAAACATTCAATTACTAAGCAAATAGTTAATTAAACTTATAATCATGCTTGTCTGTGAAATAACATTTAGGTTCAAGTGAAATGATGTATACATCTACAAACTAAGATTATACTGTAATTCAAGTTTGGCAATAAACACAAATAAATCATGATATATATGTACAAAGTTAGGTTATATATTGTAACTCAAGTGTCTATGAAGATTAATAATAAAGCTTGTGATTTAGCAATAAACACATAATTCATGATATATGCACAAAGTTAGGTTATATAATGTAACTCAAGTGTTTATGAAGATTAATCATAAAACTTGTGATTTAGCATTAAACACAACCAAATCATGAAATATGTAAGGTTATACTGTAATTAATAATATAAACTTGTGATTTAGCAACAAACACAAACAAAAAATCATGAGCTGATGAATCACCACAAACGACTTTAAGACATGTGAGTTAGCAGTAAACACAAACAAATCATGAAATTCAGACATGTCAATAAAACACAAACAAATCAGAATTTAACTCAGGCAACTTAATAAAACTAATCAAGCTTAATTCATAGCTATCATCAACTACATCTACTCACACACAAAACGATCAAAAGGAATCAAATTTCAATCTATATTCAACTCCTAACACCAAATAAAGGATATAAAGCTCAAACCTTGACAAAGTTTCCAAGAGTCTTAGTAGACCCTCTCGAAGAAGTGAAAACATCATCAATCCCAGCGAACTGAAGAACCTTCTTAGGAACCCTAGCAGCCACAATCCCAGCACCTCTCGGAGCAGGCACCATCCTCACCGTAACCGAACCACACTTCCCCGTAACCTTACACGGAACCGTATGCGGCTTCCCAATCTTATTCCCCCAGTACCCTCTCCTCACCGGAATAACCGACAACTTCGCCAATATAATCCCACCTCTAATAGCCGTAGCAACCTCCTTCGAACACTTAACCCCCAACCCCACGTGCCCGTTCGTGTCTCCGACAACAACAAAGGCCTTGAACCTCGTCCTCTGACCAGCTCTCGTCTGTTTCTGAACAGGCATGATCTTCATCACCTCGTCTTTTAGAGTGGGGCCCACGAGGAGGTCGATGATCTGGTACTCCTTGACGGGGAGTGAGTGGAGGTAGATCTGTTCCAGCTTCTGGATTTTTCCTTCTTTCACGAGACGCCCGAGTTTGGTCACTGGCGTCCACTTCTCTTCTTCCGCCGGACGTCCTCCTCGTCTGCCGCCTCGGCCTCTTGGACCGCCGCGGCCTCCTCTGTCGCCGCGACCTCCTCCGAAGCCTCGAGAGAAACCGCCGCGGTCTCCGCCTCGTTCTCCGCCTCGTTCTCCACCTCGTTCAGCCATTTTTTGGAGTTGGAAGAGGATGGAAATGGTTGCGGCGATGTGTGTGTGTGTGTTTGCGTGAGGGAGTGGAAGCCCTAGAGAGTGGAATATATAGCTCAGGTGGTTTAGATATTGAGTTTAGGGTTTCTAAAGGCCTTTAGTGACCCAAGTAACAGAGTTTATTGACTTATAAATGATAATGGGCTTTATAGGCCCAATGAGAAGTAGAAAGATGTTAAGTCGCTTTTATTTCATCATCGTGTGCCAATTAACTTTAATCAATTGGTCAATGACCACATGTTATTTTCAGTATTTTTTTAACGTACTGAAACCTCTAAAAATTAATAATCTTATAAATATATCAAAATTATATTTTTTTTTAATTTATAAAAATTATTAATTTATTAATATACTAATTGAATAAAAAAATCAATTTAAAATTATATTATTTTATAAAAAAAATTAGTGAATATTAATTCAAAGATGTTATACTTTATAGCCATTCGAAAACGGTTCAGTTAACTAAAACAGTCGTATACAAAATGGACATATAATATATTTAATAGAATTTTTCAAATACCACATATCAATCATTGTATTGTTACTTTTTTTATATATGTCAGATCACAAAATTGTGATAAATTCTTTTTTTTTTTGGTCAAACTACTGAAAAATAACATGTGGTCAATGATGTTACTTGACCAATTGATTAAAGCTAATTGACACACGATGAACACCTTAAAGCATCTGCATTGGTTACTTTTTACATTGAAATTCATGAAGATGAAACGAGAATTCATGCCACTTTATCGGTATACGTATGCAACATTTTCACCGGTTCAAAATAGTCCGTAGCAGGATGTTGAGAGATATGCATGTATTCCGTAGCTTATATTAACGTTAATTACATATCTAAATTAAAATCTGCGGTACAAATCACACCGTGATCACAATAAAAATACTATCAAGAAGGTCCATAACCCATTTAAAGCGTAATCCTTTGTTCATTGTAGTCAAACACTTTAGTATACGTAGTAATACATTACAACAATAGATCTCTAGAACATGTTGTTTATATGTATATTCCTATACTATATTTTCATATATAGACAATATCTTTAATTCATTGTCCATGTATATATCATCAAGTATAATTTTATATTTCATATACTTTTATCGAGCTATATGTATTTATATATCTATGTGAGTCTTTTGATAGACCTAATTAATCAAGTGGATTTGCATTGAGGCAAAACACTGTCTTTATCCATCACATTAGCGTTGCTGCAACTTGCTTTCCCTCCCTTTATGTTCACTCTGTCAAACACAATCCCTTGGCATGGATAGTTCTTGCTACAATTCAACGTTATTGCTATGTCCGATGCACTCGTGCCGCTTATGTTCCGGTACACCACGTTCTTCACTTGGACTGCAGATTTCTGAAAATATATGTAATAACGATTATAGACAAAAACAAAACAAAAAGTGTTTTATTGTCGTGATTATTAGTAATGGAAGATTTGGTCAGATTCAAACGAACTTGTTCTGTGCATTTGCTCTTGTCGCAATAATCTTGGTCGATTATGATTGGATTCTTCACATTCTCCATCTCAATGTTCTGGAATACAATGTTGCTAGCAGTTCCTGACCCTCCCTACATTATATTTGGTTAGATATTAATCCAAAAAGTAATTAAAGTGGGGCGAACTTGATAAGCTAGTTTGTGACTTTCACCTGGTAAGTTTTGATCCTAACTCCATTATCTGTACCGGAAAGCTTAGCTCCATCGACAGTCACACCTGACACGAATGCCTTTGAATTGTCATCTCCTAAGCTCCCAATGCTATTCAAGTTTCAAAAACATATAATCAAACTTTCATATAAGTTTAAATTGATTATGGTTGAAAATATTTCATACTAACTCATTGATTGATACCTGATACCATGACCGGGGCCGCAAGTTATATCATTAATCTTAACGTTTTGCGATCCACTTTCAATAGATATACAATCATCACCTGACAGAAAAGCAACCATTAAGAAACTCCAATCTCCATAAACCCCTAATTAATTTTAGCTTTCTTGAAATGCAAGCAACTCTTTAAATAAAGGGGATGTAAATGGATATAATAAGTAACCTGTTCCAATGATGGAATTGGAGACTTGAATGTTTTGAGTGTTGGTGATGTGAATACCATCGGTGTTAGGACTATCACCAGGCGCAGTGACCTCAACATTTGAGACCTGAACGTTGGAGCATTTCTCAATCGAAATCTGAATCTGTTGAGCATCTTTCACCCTCAGATTATTCACTCTCAAATTCTTCGAGTTGTAGAAAGTAAGAGCCTGCATATAAGCAATATATATTCATGTTAAACAGTTGTCCAGGATCTGATCACACCCATCATCATTATTATATGTTTCAACGTACCGTTGGGGCTTTTGTGCATTTCTTCAAAAAAAAAAAAACAATAAAAAGAGTGTCAATATATCAAGGTGACATGTATACATATTAATCAAATGAAACATTTACACACACACACACACACACACCTTAGCTTCGTTCCGTTTGCATGAGTTTTCCCACCACGTTTCACCGTTTCCGTTGACAGTTCCGGTGGCGCCGCCATCCACCGTTAGACTGTTAACACTGTCAAATGTAATCCATTTGCTGAGATCTTTGTAATCCGATCGTTTTTGAGATGCCGACAATGTTCCAAATATCTGTCGTTCCATTCACCAAACGCTCATTTTATATATTAAAATTCCATATACGTGAACATGATTACATATATAGTAAAGTAGTTAATTAACAGATAGCACACTTTGTAAAATTTACCTGAACGGTAAGAATTGATTTACATGGGCCATTTAATCGAATAGACTTAAGGAAATAAGTTTTGTCTTCAGGAACTAAGAGATTAACATCTCCACTTGAAGAACATGCTTTCTTCCACGCATTCACGAACGCCTGATCATGAATGCATGCATGGATCATTAGTACGTTAATTTATACATTTAGAAGTCATGTATACATTTCCATGTTGTAAGGTAATATATGGGCATATTTTATAAACGAAAAGATGTGTGAATGCATATATACCTGCGTGTCATCGGTTTTTCCATCTCCTTTAGCTCCAAAATCAAAAACACTAACGGTGTTTGGAAGCCGCAAAGAGGCTCTTACAACACTTTTAAAACGTGTGGTATCGTCTCTTTGCTTGATTAAGCTATTGGATTTGAACGTTCCATAAGAATGATCATATCCACTAATGCGGTTTCTTGAAGCTTCGCACCATGAGAGCATCAAAAGAGACCATACTAGTAAACCGGTAAGAACTCTGCAATATCGAGCCATTGTGGTTGGTAGGTAAATGGATTTTTGGAAAAGGAATGCGTGTCGTTTTGTGGGATTAGGTTGAGAATGTTTGATGTTTGTGATTCTTGTCTATGTGTTGCTTTGTTTTTGAAATTTAAGAAGTGACGACGAACGTGTATTTATAGGCAAATCAAAAGGAACAGTAAAAGTTTGGTTTGTTAAGCTTGAATGAGTTCGAGGTATGGAGAAAAAATGAGATTGTCACGTATACACTACTTAAGGCATATATTTTATATTGTACATATTTTTCTTCCGTTAGAGTTTTTATATTTGTACTCTCTTGTTTAGTTTATTTAAAGATTTTGTTGCCTCTTAGCGAGACCATGCTCATCATATTTCCAGCAAGAAACATCGCTTAATGATTTAAGGTAAATGGAAGGTTTTATTATATTCTCCGCTAGATTATTGGATTGAATTAATGACTATGATCATTATCTTGTACTTTTTTATTCAATAAATTGAATGGTCAAAATGTGAAACTAAACATACACTAAAGAAAATTATTGTGGCGAACGATGGATTTATGATGTTGCTATGAGTTTGTAACAATGAATATTTAGCATGGTTCACCATAAGCCAATTCACATGAGTATCATCGTTTATCAACAATCACCGGCCGGATTTCTAAATGTTTATCTTAAATATGTATGATGTGCAGAGTTCTTATACATGTTCAATAACTAGAAAATGAGAAATAAAAGAAATTCAAGTGGGACTACAATATCTATATATATATATATAACTACTCTATATAAAAATTAAAATATTTATGATTTTTTCATCCCAAAGAAAATTCTGAATATATTTTAAGAGGAATTACTATTTTACGCGTTATATATGTTACATATGACTGAAAAAGTAACATTCTTAACATTATTTTAAACTATATTAAATGCATAAAATAAACGAAAAATAAGTTCAGAACTGTCTTTGCGTTTGCTTATATGATGTGTAAATGATATCTAATTAGTATAATTATCATTTTGTTTGCAACACATAGTATAAATATAACTAATCCGTATTTTTTTTTTAAATAACAGAATTGGACGTACATTTTTTCTAAAGTGAAAATGATCAATCTACATTAACCTATTTGGGGGGGGGGGGTTTGTGAGTAAGTTACAAAGGATGATAAATGATGACAAGATTAGACAAAGTAAAATGATGATAATTAAAAACAGGGGAAACAGGGGGGGTTTGTGAGTAAGTCAAAACAGGGGAAACATAGTAAAATGATGATAATTAAAAAAAGATAAATGAATAAACGATGATAAAAAACAGGGAAATTTTTTTACACAAAGTAAAATGATGATAACAAAATAATTATAATTTTTTAAATAAAAATATGTATATTGAATTAGTGGTTCAAGGGTTATTTAGCATTCATTATAAGAGTTAGGATCGAGTCCACCCTTGTGCATAAAATTTCTTTTGAACATTTGTAGTTTTTGTCTTGTAGTTTCCAAGATTTCAGGGTCAGCTTTATATATATGATGAATTTGACATTTCCAGAACAGTGTGTTTGTGGTGTATGATGAAAATACATTGTTCTTTATCTATTTTGATAATGCCCCGGCCCCAAAATTCAAATTTACGTGGGAGATACATGATACAAGAACAGGAGTTGTTTTTTTTTAAATAGTCGCAATTTCGTGCACTACAGAGATTTGCGTAATTTTAGCAAAGAACAAATGACCTTATATGTTCGTGAAGGTTCAGTTGAGATGGCGATAACTAACGTTCACGTGACTGCCACATCTTATTGATCTTGTTGCTTATTGAAAGAATGAAATTTTGGCATTTATATCGGCCAGGTCACAAAATATCAACGTCATAATAGACTTTTTGTTTGTTACTTTGTCAAGCTGGACCGTAATTGGTTGATAAAATGCATAGTTTAATTTTGCTCATCCCATCACCCACGTAAGTCGGTTTATTATGCATGTATATCAATCAAAACGGAAAGAACAAAATAATACTTTCTATAAAAACGAACAAAATAATATTTTATTTTAATAAATGCTCCAAAAAACACGATGCCACATTTAACCATAGTTTGCGGCACACAAATTGCGTATGGGAAGCAAAGTTAGGCGCTTAAGAGTTAAGACTTATAAGAACGATCTGAACATGTATGAATCTCCCCTTGAACAGAATTGTTGATATAACTCACACGTGGTCAAATTACAATGTGTTTAACACATGCTGGAGCTGGTAAAACCACATTTCATGTTTCTAGAAAGTTAAGAATCATGCTTGCATGCATGAGACTCCAAATTTGTAACAAATTCCTTCTTGACAAACTTATAACAGATAACAGTAATGAAACCCTGTTAAACCAAAATAAATTTGACTTACGGGTTCAAAAACCTAAACAAACAGTTCAACGCATGGAATTTCCAATAACAACGGGAAACACTAGTGGCCCTACATGCATATCTTTCTGAATAAAATCAACTTTTAGGATAGGTAATTATCGACTATATAAAATAAATAATCTAGGCATATACTAGTTAATAGACGTACACAAAATGAAAACGTATACATATATATGATAAGGCATGTGTGAAGCTTGCTTGAAAGACCCGAAGGTATGGGCGAAAGCATGAGTTCTGGAAAAACTTCCTGGTCGTTGTTATAATATGTTTCCTTAATTATAGATTATCGTTCAGCCTTTGAAGAAAATTCTCTGATGAACAAGATTCAACATGCATGCTTTATATTAGTTTTTGTATGTGACCAGTATTTTCTCTTCTTCCATGTAAAGTTGATGGATCCCCTTAAACGACAAAACAAATAAATCTACTGACATCAATATATTTGGCAAATCATAGTCCTAAATTTAATCTTAAAAGTGTTATATTCGAACTATTGTGTTTGAGTTTTATCTTTCACATATACTTTCTGAAAGTTGGATTAGAAATCCAAATCTTAACACGAGCTACACCGTGATTTTGAAAATTTAATATAAATATAGCGGAGACGTTTACGTTTAAAATTGGACGATTATTTTCATTTAATTTATATTCCCCAAATCTTATGATGTATCCAAATATTTCATATACATGTTTATGGGTACATACTATAATTAAGATATATATTAATTGCATAGGTTAATTTTATATGTTTTCTCCAAATCTTATGACGAAGACAAAAATATATAAGGTTATGAATGACACAGTTGGGTATGTTGTATACTTAAAATGTGATCTTTTATATTATTTTTGCTGTGGTGTGAAATTTACTTCATTATGTTTAGACTATAGTATGTACCAAATACTTTAACATATGTTCTTTGGATACATACTATAGTATATGTTATCTTCTTCTCATCGGTACATATATATTATAATATAAGTATATAACACAAAATTTCATACCACAACAATAATATTATAAAAATCACATATTAAACATAAAATGTATCCATCTATCTCCACTACCCATAAATCAAATCTTAACACCAGCATTTGGATAAGGACCTAAATATGTCCAACTATCCATATATGGGATTCCAAACGGTATTGAAACTGTATTTTAGAATATTCTGAAAAGAGAGATTCAAATATAGTTACTAGATAGTCCAATTGAATTATTTCGATGGATTCGTTTTAAAAATGGGAAGGTATTGTCCGTGCGTCTACACATATACCCGCATGTAATATTTTGAATAGTATGGATTCTGAAATTATCACAGAAACCCAATTTTGGTATGAATATCATGAAACTTGAGTATATGCATGATGTTTCAAATGATGCTATTTCGAATTGCCAGAAACTTGTATACACGAATCAGAATGACATGATCGTTTGGTAAAACTAAATAAACAAATTTGTCACAAAAACTAAATAAATAAACTAAATTAGTTTTGATATATGTATAAACGGTAAACGCCCATAAAAGTTAAGGAAGGGGTGTTGTGTACAACTATATCAATTTTTTTTTAATATAAAAGAGTTTCTGTTAAATTAGTTGGTACGGAAATTATGGAATGGCCACAAAGTGACCAGTCAGAACGCCTTCTTTTTACATATAAATCGCATCCAGGCGACATGTTGTACGCATGTGGGTTGGTGAGATCAATGTGACATATAACATATTTTATTCAAAAATTACCTCATGTGTTTTCTTACTCGGTTGAAATTTATTAAATATATTAATGCGTTTCATGAATTTTGATTGATGTTTTAATTTAGTCTTTATATTTAGAGACAAAATAATATATCCCTATATTTTTCTAGAAAATTAGAAAAATTCTATTACAAAACCATTCACTTGGACAAATCCATATCTATAATATAATTTTCGATTTTAAAGAAAAATATAAAAATGAATATACAGATGAACTGGAATTGATCTCAGTTGTTTAATCAAATATGAAACACTAGATCAACATTTTTATCATGTAGTTTATAGAGGTAATGAAACCATTAATACCTTATGCAGTTTGATCCTTATTTGGTTTTTCTAATCACAGCATATGTGTGCATGACGAAAACCATGTTTTGAATCTCGATTGTGTGAATAGATGTTTATGAAAAAAAAAAAATATATATATATATATATATATATGTGTGTGTGTGTGTGATTTTTAATAAAAAACTAAATATTTATCTTTACATTAGATAAGAGAAAATTCGATCCTATTTGTTATTTATTATGTTTTCAAATTATTTGATTCTCACTTTGTAGTAACAACAAAGAATTATTTTATTAAACTGATTATGTTTCAAATAATTTTCTGAGTTTATTGTTTCTTGATGCTACTACCTTTCCATTATAAACATCTTAAATAAAAATAAATTATAAGAAAAGACTAGACCGTAAAAACATAGAATGTAATAAAATGATGCATGAAACTGATTTTTATTTTTACTAAACAATCAGTTACGGTAAAATAATAATAATAATAAAAATTTAATTACCAAAGACTAAAAAATATTTGTGTGATTTTTGTATGACCACACACATATAGAATCCAAACATGACAACATCCTATTTTTTATGATTATTTATGAAGAATGTGATAACAATAAAAAGTTACCAATAAAATTATAGTACGAAGAATGGTAGTAACAAAAAGAAAAACATCTGTTGATACTAATAAAGAAAAATTACTATCAAATGTTTATCAAATTGTTGTATATTTATGAATTTTGCGCATATCCCAATCTTGAAATATTTACTGCCAGGTTTCATGGTCGTATAAATCTGAAATATTAAAAACAAAGTAGTATATAATAAGAAAATTCTATAAGCTTTTTAAGTTTTTGATTTTGTAAAAATGAAAATAACTATCCAATAATTTTATATTTATAAGGAAAATAAATATTAAATTTTTGTAAGAAAATAATTTAAAGAATTAAAAAAACTTAATCTTAAAATTCTTTTGGTTTAAGTTTTTGAAAATGAAATTTTTATTTAACAAATTTAATAATTCTAAATATAGAATTACCATGTGTCGCGATCATGTTAATTAACAACTTTGATAACTAAAACTTTCTATAAGAAAAAAGCTAATCTTGTAATTATTTTTATTTATAAAAAATATTTATCTAACACATGTCTTTAGAAAAGGAAAATGAACTTTAAAAAAAATAGGAAAACTAACTTCTTAAAATCTTTTGGCAAGTTAACACATATTATAACCTTAAATATTATATGGAAATACTTTGTTTTTTATAGTTTTTTATTTAAGCTTTAAAAAAAAGGAAATTAACTCTTTAAAATCTTTTGGTTTAAGTTTTTTTTTTAAATATTTTTGTTATTTAACACATGTCATCATTTTAAATATATAATTGTTATGTATAGCATCTTATATATTAAAACAGAAATCATGACTTGATTTCATGTGTGATTTTTTTTAAAAATTGACTATTAGTAGAAAGTTATGTTACATTAACTCTCTAATAATCTTATCATTATTATAGCTTATAATACGCTTAACAATTTGGTTTTGGTAAATTATCTCACGCCTTCCAACTTAGTCACACAAAATATGTCAATAGATATAAGTTTAGGAATCTTCTATTATTTATAAGGAAATATGTCAATAATAGTTAAATGCATCCACAATATATTAACAAAAATCACAAATTAGTAATATGGAATATTTAAATACCTTAACAAAATTTACACGCTGTATATATTAGATAAATTTATTTTGATGTAAATTTTTAAAATTATATTGTTTTAAAAAAAATTGTTAAACAAATATTTTTTAATAAAATTATATATAATATTAATTTATGAAGCTATAAGTTTAGTTTTTACCAAAAATTTCTTCAAAGTTTATATTGTCTTTGCAATTTAAAATACACTAATATTTAATCAAGCTCTATTTATATTACTTTATATAAAAATGAAATACTAATCTAACAAACAATAAAATATAGAAGAAGAAACAAACACATGTTTGAAACACATGTATAATATAGAAAATGTGAAACAATCTATTTGATTAAAACATTCATTATATAATATTATTATGTTTGAAAAACATTTACTATACATATCGTAAATATGTGATTACTATAATATATACCAATTTACAATTGAAAACAAATTGTTTATATAACTAACTATAAACGAAAACAAACATTCGCGCGGTTGCGCGGGTCAAAATCTAGTTTATGTTAATAAGCAATTTTGAAAGACTACCATGCTTAAACGTAAATAAGTCTGTCGGCCATTATATTAATTAAAAAGTCTCATTGGCCTATTACATTAATTCATGATTACTTAAAAACCCTAAATTTTCAGGCTTGTTCCTCTCTAGCTCTCTAGCTTTTGAACTCGATTTCCAGATTCTCTTTCTCTGCCATGGGTCCGAAGCAAAGGCAGCCGGTCGCTTATGAGGAAGATTACGTACCAATTAAAACATGTTAGTTTCAATGCCTTTCAGCTTTTGCCTTTGATTTAAAGACTTTCATAGTTTCATGCTATTAGAGCTATGTTGCTCGATTATGTTTTTTTTTTACTTGATAGATTTTTTTTTATTGCACTTTAATTATCTTCAATTTCTGCAATCTTTTTCCGTGATATTCTTTTGTTCCTTGCGCCACAAGTAATCGACTTCGGTATAGACGCTAAAACTGTGAAAATACTGGGAGATGCTAAAATCTGGAATAGTCTTCTAATCAAAAACAACAAGGAGCTCCTCGCTGGGGTCAAAGGTTTATCAGAGATTGATTTTGACCCAATCTGTGAAGCAGTTGACAAGATAATGGTTAGTCTTGAAAACGTTTTGTTTCTTCTTTTTTTTGGTGTGTGTTTGTGTTTGGCAGAACACTGATACAACAATGTGCTTTGTTTCAGGCTTCACTAACTTCCCAAGTTAAAGTCTTCACTCAGACTTTGCTTTTACCTGAAAACATGCCCCGTGAAAGATGCATGTCAGAGTGCATTGAAGCCTGTTACTCACTCGATGAGATGCATGAGACTATGTCTGGAAAATTTGGTCAGCCATTCAAAACAACCAAGAACAATTATGACTACTTTGTAAAAGCTTACAAGCAACTTTCATTGGTGCGGGCTGCACAAAGGAGAGCAGAGAAACTCCCTAAAGCTCAGAGCCAGAAGCAGCATCTCAAAGTTGACAAAACCTGTGAAGCAAGTAACAAGGTTAGTGTCCTAAAACGTATAAGAAATTGTACTTATTGCATGAACAATTGAACTTTCAAAACATACACATAATTTCAGAGTAAGCTTGAACAAAAGGAACAGGCTAGAAATCAAGTTCAGAGTAATAGTGAGGAGAAGGAGCAAGTTGGAGATCAAATTCAGAGTAATGGTGAGCAGAAGGAGCAAGGTGAATCACTTCTACCAATTCAAGATGAAGTTGAACTTCCAGAATCAACTGAAATTGGGAGTACTAGTGAGAAGAAGGAGCAAGCTCACAGTGAATCAGCTCTTCCAATTTTGACGCAGGTTAGAATGTTAGAGGTGGTTGTTTAATATATATATATAATAACTTTTTTTTTTTTGCATACACAATATTAGTGAGAAATGTGAAATGTTTTCTGTGACAGGTTATTAATTCTCAAAAGGAGATGTTGGAAGCTATTACATCTCAGAATAAAATGTTGGAATCTATAATGAACTTTCAAACTGAGATTGCAACGAAGAGTGATCTAGAATCTTTTCAGAGAGACTTAGAGAGAAGGCTTGATGCTATTGGTGAAGACATAGCACTCCAAGTGGCAAATAGTATTCTCTCTGACAATAAATCTGAAGAAGTTATTACTTCAAAGATTAAAGAAGTGGCGAGTACACTTCACACCCTTATCAAGGTAAATTTTAGTTTCAACTGATTATATGATACCTTAGAAACTATACAAGAAATAAGATTTATGTATACATGATTTTTTGTTGTTGTATTTTACAGGATTTCATTGAATCTGAGACCAGAGATGTTAGCCATGACCTTAAAGGAAAAATGGTTTGCATACTTAATATAGTTTTGTTGTGAGTTATTTTCTGAGTTGAAGTCTAAGTTCTATTCTCTATGATTGCAGGCTTTGTTGATAATAGAGGGAGAATATGAAGAGTGCTTCTCTATTGCGTTACATAATGAAGATGACAACGCTTCTCTATGTTGGCTATTGACCAAGGTTCATCCAGATCAGTTACAGGAGCATGAATTTCAGCTGAACCAGCTAACGCTTCGCCAACTTTTGCAGCGTTTGGTCCGTTTGGCTGCTTGTGGATTGGGCACCCGTTTGAGCTATGAATGGTTCAAAGCTGTAGTTAATGGCATTAGATCAGACCCAAACATCAGACTGGAAGATGCAAATATCTTAGCATATATCTTAGCGTATGTCTCCATGCTTCCTATTAACTACAATGTGTGAAATATTGGTATTTTAGTTTCTATGATCTTTTACCATGTTAGAAATGTTATTGTTGGATTTAGTTGTTCTTTTCACTGGATTTAGAGACATAAAATATTGATTTTTTTACATAATTCAAAAGAATAAACGTAATTAATGATCTTCATTTTCCTCACATGCATCAGTTTATCTAATACAGACGGGCTGCATCCACCTTTCAACAATACAAGCCTTATACTAATACCCGTCAAAATATTGTGAGAAAGTGAAAAACAAGAAACCAAAAGAAAATGGAAATATTTTTTGGAATCAGATTCAACTCAATCTTCTGAGAGTGAGAATAAGTATCCCTTCTTGGGATTTCAAGCTCTATTTGTATCTCCATGAAACAGCAAAGACCCATCTTGCATCAGTTTGTGACTAAGATTCTTGAACCGATCCCTAGAGTACTGCCTCGAAGCTTTTCTCCAATCCGTTCCCGTTTTCATCATCGTTGCAAACTCTTCATAGCTTATCCTTCCGTCCTGCACAAGTTACCGTTCATAAACCTTCAAATTTCATATTATCTCTACAAAAAAAATTTACTCTCAGATGGGTCTAATAACCTTATTGGTATCAACATCATAGATAATGGCTTCAACAACTTCTTCACTAGTGGTATCAAACTCATCTGCCAAGGCATCTCGTAACTCATCTATTTCAATATATCCACTCTTATCTTGATCAAAGAACTTAAAAGCTTTCTTTAAATGCTCGTCATTGCTCATTTTCCTGATGTGTACCGATATGGCTACAAACTCGTTAACGTCTATATATCCATCTTTATCAGCATCTCCCTATAATAATAACCAAATATCATCTAAATATTCAAAAATTTGGAATCAGCATTGGAGTTAAGTTGCTTAATAGCTTACCGCGTCCATCAAGATTTGAATGTCATCTTGAGGAACAACAATACCGAGTTTTCGAAACCCGAGTCTTAGCTCTTGAATGGTAATCTTTCCTCTTTTGTTAGTGTCCATTACTTGGAATTTTTCTATTATTCCTGATGCTTCTTCAACTGATAGATGCTCAGCAATTACCTGAAGATGGAACGTTATAAAACTATCTTAAGCTCTTTCAAGAGAAGAGATTATTAGTACATACCCTGAGTGCTCTTTTCTTGAGCTTGTTCATTACTGTGAATTGCTTAAGCCTTGCTCTCACGGTTTCACCCAATGATACGTTAGGAGCATTCTTACCATCTTGTATCCACGGATGATCTATAGACCAAAAGATGATATATTGAATCTTTGAGGATGAGAAACAATTACATTTTGATGAAAACAAGATGTTACCAAGCACTTGTTGAGCTGTAAGACGACGCTTTGGGTCAGGATGAAGCATCCTCTTGATAAGATCTTTTGCATTTGAAGAAACTTTAGGCAAGGGGTCTCTTCTAAAATCAATCACAGATTTAAGAATTTCTTTTGCAACTCCATGATCAGTTTCTTCAAACAAAAAAGGATACAAAAAAAGCGTCATTACATTTTTCGTATCATTTTACAAAACATGAAACGTAACAAGTGTTTTGACAAAAACCAAACCTGCCCAAAAAGGTGGAACACCACTTAGCAATATGTAAAGGATTACACCTGCGCTCCAAATATCAATCTCTGGTCCATAACACTGCTTTAATACCTCTGGAGCCATGTAGTAAGGACTCCCAACGATTTCGTTAAACTTCTCCCCTGCAAAGAAAACACTTAGGGTTAAAAGACTGCTTCTGATTCCAGAACTCGAGTATCTTTGACCAAGCATTCAAGATGTTTTACGTTACCTGGTTTAAAGAAAATAGAGAGGCCAAAATCAATCGCTTTCAAAGGTGCAGTTTCCTTTTTATTCGAAAATAAGAAGTTCTCAGGTTTTAAGTCTCTATGCATTACTCCATGCTTATGGCACATCTGCAACACACATGGTAACAAAACACATTACTATCAAATTTACTAGAAGAATCATATCCACCCAGAGTTGGTCCTGAAATTTATCTAATTTGAAACAATTACATATATTTTTATTAATCTATTTGAACACAAAATGATTTATACATATTAAAATTTTTGAGGACCTAAGACGAATGTTTCATCTCACTTATATCATCTACCATGAGAAACACAAAAGCTCAAGATCCAAAGAATTGCACATTGAGTGCCTTCCAAGCAATGGTTGAGATCAATACTATCAAATAAGATTCAGACATCAAAACCAAACTAACCTGAACGACTTCCATAATTGTCTTAATAACCGAAGCTGCAGCTCTCTCCGTGTAATGCCCTCTAGCCACAATCCTATCAAAAAGCTCACCGCCACCACAAAGCTCCATAACCAAATGAACAGCTTTATCATCCTCGTATGTCTCTTTCAACGAGACGATGTTTGGATGCGCAGGCATAACCTTCATGATCTCAGCTTCCCTCCTAACGTCATCTATATCCACAGCTGTTCTCAGCTTCTTCTTTAAGATGGATTTGCACGCAAAAACCTCTCCTGTCTCGATGTCTGTGCATAGATACGTGACACCAAACTCACCTCGACCTAGCTCACGACCTAATTTGTATTTCAGCTTGATATCTCGACCCGTTGGTTCTTTAAGGACCACAAGCTTATTTCCATCGTGTCGGTGACCGTAATCGATTGAGAAAGGAATTTTAAAACCTTTCTTGTTCTTGTCATTTCCAATCAACGTTCCTCCCGTTCCGCAACAGTTTCCCATTATAAAAATCAATGAACTCTTCTCCAAAAAAAAAGGAGGATCAAGAACTTTAATTAGTCAAATGAAATTTCAGAAAAGTTTTTTTTTTTTTTTAAATTGAATGCGTTAATACAGAGAGGTGTGGAAGGAAGGTTTTAAAAACAAAACAAACAAGAAAACATCCTTCCTTCCCTAGTCTCTCTGCATTGTCATCTTATCTTGATTTCTGTTTTTTTTGTTGTCTTCAGATAGTCTTCCTGTAATAATTTATTTTTAGGTATTTTTTTTCCGTAATGTACAAGCAAATCTGAAACATAACAGAAAATTAACGATTATCTTCTTGTTTCATATGCGAAAAGATGAACATTATCAGGAGATAACAAAAGCTCACGTACATGATTTATATACATATATATGAAAAGTAATGTTTCGATTTTTTTCTTGTCGAAACTTAACAAATGTCGTGTGCAATTTCCGGTGATATTTTTGAAACAAATAAATAAGCCAGTGGTCTACAACTCTTTAACAAACTTTTCACTGGTTAAATATTTCCATTTTACAATATAGATCTCCAAATAAAATAAGGTATGAGTCAATACTTGCGTCGAAGCAAGCGGACCAAACCCATGTTTACGGCCTTGCTTCTCTGGCCAAATAAAATAAGAATCCCTTACGTAATACATCAATGTGAATTGGTTCTCTTGATGAAAATGTGAAGAGAAAAACATAAACATATAAACTAAATGGACTTTGAAGCAGAGTTTACAAAATTGGCCTTACAAATTGATGATACGTTTGCCCTTATACAAAGTTGTAACATACTGATGATAGAATGTTTATATGACCTTACAAAATTGTCACACGTTCACTTTCTCGGGGACAAGCATGAGATGCTTAGCCTTGTGCATAGCGAGTCCAGTCATGACATCCATGTTGATCTCTTCTGGTTTCATTCCATTAGGAAGTTTGAAGTCGAATTTATAGAGAAGATTCGCATAAGGAACTTCAAGCATAGCTGAACCAAGCCGCATTCCCGGGCACATTCTCCGACCCGACCCGAACGGTATGAACTCGTAGTCCGTTCCTTTGAAATCAACATCCTTCTCGAGAAACCTTTCGGGTCTGAACTCGTCAGGGTTTGGGCCCCACTCCTTCTCGTCACGTGACACGGCCCATGCATTGACGTTAACCGTGGTCCCTGCGGGAATGTCGTAGCCAGCGATCTTGGTGTCTTGAATGCAACAACGAGGGACAAGGAGTGGAATCACCGGTTCAATCCTTAGAGCAGCAGCATTAAAGGTTGTTAGACCAGGTTCACACGCATCTCAAGGCAAATAGGAGTGAACTCGCCTTGTCTCGCCCCTCTGCGGTGAACCCGTTTCACAATTTTTTTGCGGGCCCCACGCCACGTGGCGGCCCGCTATTAGTTCAATTTTAATTTTTTTTTTTTAGAAAAAATAAACGAAAAATAATAAAAAAAAATTTAAAAACACCACGACCACGTGTGAACCTGTATCAAGATTTATTGATGCTGCTGCTCTTAGTGTCTCTTTAACTAAGGCTCTGAAGTAAGGAAGGTTCTTCATGTCGTCTTCAGTGACGAACGTTAACCTTCTCTCCCTCATATATTCTCTCACTTCAGCTTGAGCTTTCTTCATTACATGAGGGCACTTCATTAGATAAGTCATTCCCCACACAACCGCCGCAGCTGCCTTGTCCGTTCCCGCAACTACAATATCCTTTTCAAATACAAGCCAAAACAGATAAAGTATAACCTCTTTAAATTAATATTCTATAAATTAATATACATTAAAAATTTCTATAAAATAATATAATAAATTAATAATCTATATAAATTAATAAAAAATTATAATTTTGATGTAATACTAACATTTTTAATTGATAAAAGTTTCACTATAGATTTAAAAACAAGAAAACGATTGCTAAAAAAAAGGATTTCTTTAATGCAAGTAAACAGATAAAATATAGTTTTTATACGTACCAAGACCACGGCTTTGACATTCTCTAGAGTGAACTTGGATGCGAAAGGTTGATCTCTGTAGATATCCATCAAGAGATCAATCATGCTCTCCGTTTCAGGCTTGACCCTATTGGGATCAAGTGTTTCATCGACAATCTCTTGCAGATAAGTGTCTTGTCTTTCGAAACATTCTTTCATATAAGTGGTGAGGCGTGTCAAATCATCGAGAACATAGCCAGTAAAAGGAAAAAAATCAGAGAAAAAAATCTTTCCGAAAACGCTCTGACTCCCATAAAGAATCTTGATGAACCTTTTCATCTCTTCACCATCTTCATTATACTTCTTCCCGAACGCTTGTCTACATACAACGGAGTTGGTGAATGTCAACATAAGCTCACTTATATCGACCGCTTTGGAGTTATCAGCGGCCATACCGATCTTATCCATCATCCTCCTAGCCTCCTCCTCACGTACGTGCTTAAAGGTGGCCACACGTGTGGGTGAGAACAAGTGGTTCATCCCCATCTTCCTTATGTCCCGGTAATACGGTGTGTAATGATGAAATGCCATGTCACGTCGGCCATAGGACATGAACTCCTGGCCACGGTGGAGAGGCCGGTCCGCGAAGTTGACGTCTTGCGTCTTAAGAAGTTCTTTGGTTAGTTCAGCCGATGATATCACCACCATTGTTTTGCTTCCTATCTTGTATGATAAGTTTGTTCCGTATTTTTTTGGCCCATCCGTAGAAGAACCGTATCTTATACAATAAAGTTGAGTTTTCTCCCTTCTTATAGTGTCCAACTCAGCATCATAGGGTGGGGCAAAAAAAGCCACGTCAACAGTTAACCCAAGCATTCAATATTAATTCAATCGCGTCCCGTCCGGTTTTCTTTTTCAATTCTGTATTGGTATGTTCTATAGTATGTTGGGCTTTGCTGTTTTTTTTTATAATATTTAAAGGCCCAACATTAAACCAAGACACTCTCCAGACTTCATCATGTATTTGTCCGGTTGTCTTAATTAAATCACGGTTCGAACCGGTTGTATATTTTCTTGGGCTGGGCTGATTTTGTAATCTTATTGAAAGGTCCAAAAATATTTTCGGTCTTTGCTTCTTCTTCATTCCCTCTTCCATCGACTTATCGCTTGAACTTAGGAAACGCAAACCACGATCTCAACACTGTAACGCCTCAGCCTCACATTAATATGTAATTAACTCTGAACTTTTACATTATTATCACACTGGGACGCATTTAGTTCATCTCTTCGCCTACCACACAAACCGGCAAGTGTTCGATTATAAATATCACATCCTCCAACCATGCACAACGCAACTCAAACAACATCCAGAAGAAAACTTTGTTCTAACTACCGATTCATGCCATGACGACCTCCTACACTCTCCTCGCTGATTTGAAGGCCAGTCTTTGCGCTGACACGGGGGAGGTGCGACTACTCCATTTTTGAGAGGCCAGAAATAGCAACAGAGCCCGGGAACTAATAAGTGTTGACATGTTGCTGATTGATGAGAATGTAAGAACCTCTGATTCTGGTTAACCCTCTCGACAATACATTCATTCCGACTTCTATTGTAGAGAAAATGAGAGGAAAAGGTTTTAGATTTATAAGAGCCACCGTTGACTCTCATTGATTTAATTCTATCGGAATCTCCCTGATCATAGTCACAGATTGTGGGCACAATACATCCACATGCGGCTACTCTAAATCTTCTACCCGCTCCAGTATCTTTAACGGTTCGTTCCTTATCCATTCAATTTTCGTTTTTGATCGATTCGTTGAGGATCACTGATACAATGATGATATGATTGATAAAGATGCGACCTTTGCGTATGTTTCTAGCTTATTCATTGATAACTAACTTCTCAGTGACTGTGTCTTTATCTCCAATACAAGTTTTTGGGCAGAGAGACTCACTGTTAATGATTACCAAGTTTTGTTGCATCCATCTTGAGATTCATAGATTTGATATGTGTAGATAAAAAGTTTGAATTTGAAATAAATTTCTGATTTTGTTGATGATTTAGCTTTGAATTCATTTTGATTAATGCTTTCTGTAGTGTCAAAATCTTCCTTCAAGTATACGAATCCATTTAATCGTTTCTGAAACCTAAGAGAAAAGGGTTTCGCTTTTAACCCAAGAGAAACCAATTATCATATATCTTTTGTCAAAGATACAAGTGTGATATTATGTTTTGGTTAGCTTATAATAGCAGCCATACTTTCTTTAGTAAGCTCTTTTTATCAACTGTTGTGAATAATCTGAAGTCAGTACATACTACAGAAAAGTTGCATTATACAATGAAAGAAATGGCCTCTGTTATCCCTACTATGTTATTCCTTTTTATGTATGGTCACATTATTTATCTCTTGGTTGTTGACTAGGTGAAAACATGGTCTCCACTTCTGAACACGTTCTGCAGCAGCATAAAGCTAGAGCTGGAGTTGGTGTACAAAGTCCAAATGCAATAATGCCATGAGGACGCAATTTTTCCCAGAAAAAAGTAAGGTCGTGACCTTTATCTTCTCCCTGAAGACACCATCCTCCATTTGTTCTGTAAAGGAAACTACTCAAGAGAACATGTTAGTCCATGGGAATTATGTACGACATTTCATCTCCCAACTTGGTTTCAAGACAAAACTTATTCGGCCTCGGAGGATTTTGGGTGACGTTTTTTTCTAAATTTTGTGGTGAATGTTGCAGCCAAACCTTTGTGAAAATCCTAGAGCCATTTTTGAATTGACTTAAAGAAGCAGAGGAATGACGTTTCTTCTCTATCCTGCTCTGGATATTTGTTTCTTTTCTAAAGTGAATAATTTTAGAGTTCTATCTATCTATAAACTCTATTGTTTATGATATTTTTGCAGCAGTCTGCTTTTTATTGATGTTTTTTAGCAATAAGTATGCTTTTTAGATGATTTTGTTTCCTTTTCAGTTGACTATTTGTTATTATATGAATTTGTATGCCAGTTTTTAGTTGACGATTAATGGTAAATCATAGTAGAAACTGCCTCATGTAAAGTTAATTTGATGCTCCTTCTATAAAAACTAAAATGTAATGTTTATATTGATTGGAAACAAAATTTACTCAACCTTTTAACGTAAATTCATCATTTAAAGTTCATCCGCAATGAGAAACATCAAAGAAAGAAAATCTAATATTTTTGGACTTAATTGGGTTGGGGAATAATTATGTTGATGACCAAAATAAACACTACAACAAGAAATATAGCTATTATATTATATGTTAAGAACACAATGCACCTATTCCTTTAACAACTATGTAGACAAAATTACCTTTCATTTTTGAGAAGAATGATCTCACTGGAAGTAAATTTCCATTTATAGCTTCATTTAGAAAACTAATCTAACTATTAAATCTGAGTTTCTTTTTTACCTTTTCAGTTTTTAGTGGTACTATAACTCATAGTAAATTGTCGCTTAGTACATATACTGATATACATGTGTGAAGAAGTTGGATATCGTATATTACAACACAAACTATATTTCGTCAGTTACGTTAATCTCATATGTTGAAAAGTATGAAAATTTATATTTGGTTTGGTTCAGTGTATTGACGGAAAATTTTAGTTTTTATCATACTGGTTGTGATTGTTCTTTAAACCATTATATTAACAAAATCACCAAAATAATAAAGCAAATTCCTTAAAGTATTATCTTATTTAATTAAGCTAATAGAAAAATTATAAAACATAATTTATTATATATATTTTCTTAAACACATCGGTTTACGACAAAGAGATCTCCATCAAGTCAGTAAAGAAAAATTCATCGAGTCAATAAATAACAAAGCAACACTTTAAGGTTTTAAGCTATGGCTATCTCTTTTGTGTGAAATTTTTGATGGTTTTTTGTTGATTATTGTGTACAATTATTTTAAAGCTTATAAAAAACTTATGATACCTAAAAAAATGATTGATTTCAAATTGAAAACTAGCTATACCTAAACCAACAGAAAAAAAAATGGGGGCACATAAAAGTGGAGGCTCCATGCAAATTTTTAATAATAATTTGTGCAGGTTCGACTTTGCCATCACACGACATGTCATGCAATTATCTCCAACTCAGTTATCTCCAACACTAACTGAAGCTGCTAAAGACACTCGTATTTACAAGAAACTAAAACTCAGATTGTTGACCATCTATCCACTTGCATCTTTAATAAAGTATAATGATCTAATGATCAACTGTTTATTAGCCGGAAATTTAGAAGCTTACTATATCAAAAGCATTCAAGAATATTTTGAAAAAAAAAACACAAAACCAACGTTGGTCTCCATCATCTATAAAAAAATATATCTAGATACATTTTATCTTTACGTATAACCATGCTATGCATGCGAGAAAACTATGTTGGAGAAGTATACATTAATAACATTGGTTGATAGTAAGACCATAATGTGGATACTCAATTTTGGAACCACTTTTTAAAAAAATATTGCATGGAGTACGAGTTCAATGACTCGATTGTTAGTCCACCGTTACAAGCAAATAAAGGTAGAATTTTCATTTACCCAAAAATCATTAACAAAAGACGCAAACATTGCTATTTATACAAGGAAATGAATAAGTTCGTCTATTTCATTTGAAACATGATGTTCAATATTTATATCTTAATATTATAATTCAAAACACAACAAAAATTATGTACTATGTAAATAATACTTTAAGGTAAATTTATTTCTCTGCTATAAAAATAAATTATCACTTTTTTACGAAAAAGCTCATGTATCTTATCAGTCTCTAACATATAAAATTCCTAATATCATATATACAAATAATTGAAGTTGCATCAGTCAGCCGCATCCCACTATTTGAATATGTGTCCATAAACACCAATAGTAAAATACATAACCATAATTCTAACTTATACAACAAACCAACAAAATAATTTAAAATTTTGATAACACAAATGTCAAATAATCCGCGCCACAAATGTTAAACAATCCGCGCGTAGCGCGGACATACCACTAGTACAAATAAAATGAGAGTCTTTATTCATCTAAAATATTAAAAGTGAAGTACAAATAAAAAATAGCCCTGATTTTTACTAAAGAATTACTACTCTATGCCATTGGGTTATAAACTACCGTTTAATAGTTTTACAAAATCAGCGCAGTTAGTTTAACAGACGTAACCACAATACAAAACCAACTAAGCATTTCACGTGATTCTCGGTTTATGTTGGTATGCATAATCAAAACAAAAAAAAAAACGGTATTCCTTCCACTACATTCAATGGCAATTATATAAATACGTAACCACATATTTTTCATCCAAGGTATATCATGGTTAAGAATGCATTAGACTATTGAGGAGCTGTTTGTCAAATAAGTTTCGTTTTCATGTGATGTTGTGATACTCAGGTTTTTTTTTGCAACTACTATTATTTTTTATTTAATTTTATGTTTTTATTTTACAAATATAATATAACTTCATAATAATTTATTTCTTTTTCTACAAGATATAAAATATGAAATATCAAAATACTATTGGTTAAAATTCACCTTAGGAAGTGAATCCAAAAGTAACATTTTTTAGTTATGTATTTCTATGGCACCTTCTTGTTATTTAACTAAATTAAATAACATTCCAAAATTTTTACCTATTTATATGCGAGCATCATAACTAAAGCAATATAAATCAA